GCTGGGATTCTGTGATTAACATTGCCATATAAACACCATTTTCCTCAAAACCCTCTCACCAGGGCGTCACCCTCACTACATATCCCATCTAATCCAATGCACACTTACACTGAGGGATTCCTGGATCTAAAAGCACCGTCAGGTAACTGATGTTCACCCATGGATCTGTCTTGAGGAAGCAGCACAGGCTCCTCACTTGGTCTTTCTGCTGTAAAACTGGCTCAGGGGAGCGGCACACACGGACACAGGCGGCTCTGCCCCTCCCCGCTGGGACAGACCCAAATCCCATCATTTTCCACTCAACAGGAGCACTTTGGGAGCCCACTTTGCATCAGCAGCCACTGAGGAGCTCCAGGATTAGCTGCTGAAGCTGCCTGGCCCCAGCCAGGCCTCCACGCTCTGGGAAAACTCTGGGTTCCTCCAGCAGCAGAGCTTCAGTTGGGGACAGCACCAATAAATGTGGTTTGAGAGGCTACAGCAACATGAGGATCCTTAGTTAAAGCTCCCTGATACAGGTACTGGTGCCTGTGATACCCAAGCACCAACTGCATCACTGATCACTTGCACATGCTCGTGTCCAGGACTTTCTGCAGTAAATCCATGGGAAAGGGTTCAACATAGCTGGAGCACACAGTGCCTTGCTCCGACCAGCAAAGCCTGATTTCCAGCCACGCATTAGCTCACACCCATGAGCAAATTCAAACCGTGCAGAACCATTCCAGGTTTCTGCAGACAACCTTGTTGAGCACAAGGACGGGGCAGAGGAAAGCCATCAACAGAATCAATGCCAAAAGCACCCCCATCCGCACCCCAGCAGCCAGACATCAAACAAGACCAGTTTGGGTCCATCAGCAACAGCTCGGCCCCATCCCAGCCATCACCCATGGCAGGGGCCATGCACACCGCATCCTTTGGGATGCTGGCCAAGGCTGCTGCCATTCCCCGCTGCAGCTCCTGCACTGTCAGTCTGAGCCCTCCACCTGGCTCCACCAAAGCTCCATCTCCACCAGTGCCTCAGTGTCCCACGCTGAGTGCCGCAATTCCATGCTAGCTCAGCAGAGCACCCTTCCCCTTGGCTCAGCTCAGGGACCCTGCCTGGGCACTGCTACACAGCACGGCTGGGCAACCTCTGTCTACCTGGTGCTTCCTGCAGGGCACTGGGTGCAGGGACACCTACTGCAGGCACCGGCCCGGATGTCATCCAAAGGGATGGGTGCACACCATGGTACTGAGCACGGGCAGGGCAGTGCTCAAGGGGCATTGGATGAGGACAGCGGGGAGCAGAGGGGCTGGGGGGGCTGAAAACCTGTTCAAGGCACATGAGACATGAGGCCAAGGGGGAGGAACGTGCATCAAGCACACATTTCATCTACAGACTCACTGCATTAGCAAAATGCCCCATTACGAAAGTACCAAGGGGGTCAGTCCTGCTTTGGGTAACATCAGAATGAAATAACAAACACCCTGGGCTCCTGCAGGGCTTCACTGCGGGACCCAGCTCTGCGGGCTGAAGGAACATTATCTAGGTGTTCCTGCTCCGGCAGGGGGATTGGACTAGATGATCTTTTGAGGTCCCTTCCAATCTCTAGCATACTCTGTGTGTGTGTGTGTGTGTGTGTGAACCAGGAGGAAACCCCCACAGTGTGGAGCAGCGGAGGCTGTAATGAACCTGGAGTGCAATGGGAATGGAGATGGGCTGGGGCAGGCCCCACCGCCCAGAGCCAAGCACATGGGCCGGAGCGGAGGGAGAAAATCCTTCACAATCAGTCAGAAAGAGCAATGTCCCAGCACACATCCAGCACAGCCCCCGCTGCAGAGAACACCTGCTCTTCCCCAGCATCGCCAGGTAGGTTTTCCTCTGGCAGCATGAAAGCCTGCAGAAAGCCATTCAAACTTCCCCTTATAGAAACGGGCATCTAGAAACTTCTACATCAGCTCTGTAAAACCAGGTCAGAAGTGAAGCATTGCCCCGCTCTTGGCTTGAGCTCTGGAATCTGCTGAGGAATTATTCTCATCCATCTGAATAACGGCTGAGGCAAAAAGAAAGCAATTTGCTGGAGATCTTGGCTTTAAGCCTTGCCAAAATTGAGGAATCACCTTTTCATGGAGCTGAAGGGAGCCGCTGCTTCAGCTCCCGCACACAGACCCACAGCTGTGCCTCCTGTTGGGATGCTGTGCACGGCTGATGCTTAATCCACCATGAGCCGCTGGTTCAGAGCAGGACCCACGCTCATGCCTCCTAAGCACCGTTTCTGCTGTTCTTCATAGAATCACAGAACCCCAGCCTGGTTGGGGTTGGAAGGGACCTCAAAGCTCCTCCAGCTCCAACCCCTGCCACGGGCAGGGACCCCTTCCACTAGAGCAGCTTGCTCCAAGCCCCTGTGTCCAACCTGGCCTTGAACACTGCCAGGGATGGGGCAGCCACAGCTTCTCCGGGCACCCTGCGCCAGTGCCTCAGCACCCTCACAGGGAAGAGCTTCTGCCTAAGAGCTCATCTCAGTCTCCCCTCGGGCAGCTGAAGCTCTGCAGTGGTTCTCAGTGAAGCAGCAGAACCTGGGGGCTCATGGGCTGCGTGAATCCCACTCTGGTGCTGCACTGCCACAGCTGCTGTTAACAGACACGCGTGTGCCAGGCCACAGGGCACAGGGGTGAGGCAGAACAGGGGGCCCAGCACAGCCACCTCCATTCCTCTTTGGTCTGTGCCCAGCACTGGCAGCAAACCAGTTCTGACCTTCCCCTGCAGACACAGGCACTGCCCAGGGGCATCGCTCACATTTTTCCCCTACCTCTGCACTGGCACGGAGCCCCAGGCAGTGCAAGCCCATTGTTTGCTTTCTCCAGGGCCCAGCTATGCCAGGAATGTCACACATCCGGGGGTAAGGACAGCTGGCAGAGCACATTTATGTGCCCGGGGCTGGGGGGGGGTGTGGGGTGTGTTACACTGCACAGCCAAGCTACCATGCAAGACAAAGCTCTTGGGCATCCCCTCTTAAACAGCTCCATCCTAGGACCACATCCAGCCTCAGAGGACAGATGCTGGGCTGGAGCTCACCTTCTCCATCCATTTCATGTTGTAGAATGGCTTGGGTTGGAAGGGCCTCAAAGATCATCCAGGCACTGGAGCTGCTCTCAGGTCTCCCCTTCAGGAGCCTTCTCTTCTCCAGGCTGCCCCAGCCCAGCTCTCTCAGCCTGGCTCCAGAGCAGAGCTGCTCCAGCCCTCGCAGCATCTCCGTGGCCTCCTCTGGCCTCGCTCCAACAGCTCCACGTCCCTCTTGTGCTGCTGCCCCAGAGCTGGGCCAGGGCTGTAGGGGGGTCTCACAGAGCACAGCAGAGGGGCAGGTCAGCAGCTGTGGGTGTGAGGTATGACAGCTCCCTCTTGCACCAGCACTGACCTCAGGGGTGCTACTGCCTGTTGAAGGGACTGCAGTGACACCCATGAGCCTTCTCAGGAGACCACAGGACTCACCTGTAGCTCCTGGCACCTCCTTCAACCATGAGCAGCCCTTCCACAGGCAGGCAGGATCCTTCCCTAGAGCCGGGAGCAGACAAGTGCTTTTCCTGAGCACAGGGCTCAGTTATTCCCTCTTTGCCTTTGAATTTTGTTTCTGAAATGGACAGAGGGCTGCTCATAGCCCCTCACACAGGTGACTGCTGCAAGGCTACAGCCAGAGAGCTTGGCAACGCTTTTGGGCAGGGGTTGTGTACAATAAAGAACTGTGTGAGCAGAAACCCCATAAACCTCCGTGGCCACCAGGTAACCCTGGGCCTGGCTCAAGAAGATGCTAGAAACAAGCCCCAAAGGAACTCCTGAAGACAGACGGGCCGGGCTGAGAAAGGCCGAGCTGTTTGCTGCGGGAGCACTCAGTGCGCAGAGCAGCCTGGCCCGCGGAGCTGGGGATGGGCAGCGCCATGCCCAGGTAAACAATGGCTGCACAGAGCCCTTACACAAGGTGCAGAGCACATTCCTCCCCGCACACTGCCGCCTTTTACACTTGGGTTTGGAGAACAGGAAGCTTATTGATTTGTTTGCAGAGGTGGCCAAAGCCGGACCTGGGAGACTGATGTTCTGCTTCAGCCCTGCGCTGCAGCCTGCGGGCCTTACACCGCAGCCAACTGGGTACCGAGGGAAGCAGCTCTGACTCGCTGTGTGCCCGTACTGAGACTCAGCAGAAGGGGTTTGGTGCTGGACTCTTGTTAAACTCTGCTGTTGTTAAACAGAAAAGGGAAGCTCTGACCTCTGCTGCTGACACGCAAAAGACCACAACATGAACCAGTATGAACCAGGAAAACACGAGCTTGGATGTCCGCCCGCCTGCTCGCCCTTTAACTGGACAAGAGCTCAGCACAGTGTTTGCTGTAGCAGAGGAAGAACAATCAGGAACCTGCACAATGACCCTGGCAGCTCGAAGGCAACATCTGACACGCAGGCAAGCTGTCACCCAGCAGGGACAACTCGGAGCTGCTTTCTCCAGCATCAGAAAGAGCAGATTACCACACACTGATGCTTTTAGACTGAGGGAACCGAAGGCAAAACTAACGCAAACCCCCCAGATGAGCTGAGACAGTTTCAAAAGCTTGTCCAAGCCCCAGAAATTAACTGACAAGAGTTTCAAAAGCCTGTCCATAGCTCACTTCAGTCTGTCAGCCACTCCTGCTCTAAAGCTGCTACCAAACCTGCAGGCTGCTTTCTGGTTTATAAAGCCTGCTAACCATCTCCAGTCATGTGTAAGGATGAAAATCCTTCCTATCCAACACCACGTGCTCAAGGGGCCTGGTGTGAACACAAGTGAGTTCAGAACATCAATTCACTCTCCAACTGGAGCCACGAGAGCGAGCTGAGGCTCCAGCCTGTGGTTCCAGGTGACTGAAAGCACACGCTGGGACACATCATCCAAGGTACCTGGTGACAGCTGGATTCACCTACCTGACAATACCCGTTCCCTCAGCTCTGCAGTGAACGACACAAAGCAGCTTTAACACACGCAATGACAGCCACATAGTTCCGTGTTGCACATCTTCCAAGGTTTAATAGACACAAAAGTGAGTCCATGGTACTTAAGACACTACAATGATTTCATTCTATTGCATGTCCTGCTCCAATTACACTTCTTGGAGTACAGTATTGAGGAAAAGTTTGGTAGCTTTAAAATGAACGAGTGTGTGAAATCTGTAAGTAAAATAAGCAGCAGCAGCAATAATCTGGGGGGTTTATCAAGAATAGCTAACTTTGACGTAATAAATACATTCCGGGTTGTGGGTTTTGCTGTTCTCCCAGTTCACTGCTGTGTGACTGGTCAAATCCTCATGCTAGGGTGAGACATCCTCCAGACCTTCCCGCCAGCCTCGCACCAGAAGAGCCTCCTGCCGGAGCCCGTCCCCGGTGCAAAGCAGCGTGTGACAGGGAATGCGCCGCGTCCTCCTGCTGCGCGCGGACCCTCCGGCCTCTCCCGGCTCCCTGCAGACTGGTGGCCCTCTGGAGAACAGCTGGGCTCTGTCTTCTGACACCTTGAAGAAAGCGAGAGGGAGAGGTTAGGGAGCGCAGGGCCGGCAGCCGCGGCCGGGCTCGTGCCTGGCTGGCCTCCGCACACAGGCAGGAATGCTCCGGCTCCCGGCTGGCAGCACCAGCGGCACCCACAGCTTCAGGACAAGCTTTGCCAAGGGAACAAACCCGGAGCGAGAGCGGGAATTTTCTCCAAGACAGCCACGATATGCAGCTCAGCGACGATAAGGAATCCTGGGCCTCTGCCTTGAAGACCAAGCGCTGCTCGGGGTGGGTTACCGCAGGTTAATCTGCCACGCGGCCCTGCACAACACACCACGTGAAGAACATCTGCCTCTGCTTTTCTAAGGCTACCTACGAAATAGGATTATTCTCCCCTTGAGAACAAACTGCACAGAAGCTGTTCCAAGTACCTGCGGTGGCTGAAGACATCTATTGCTGCTGCGGTGCCTGGATCAGGGGAGGCTTTAGAACAGTGTTCAGCGCCTAAAGGAGCCACAAGAAACCTGGAGAAGGGCTTTGGACAAGGGCCTGTAGGGACAGGCCAAGGGCAATGGCTTTAACCTGCCCGAGGGGAGACTGAGATGAGCTCTTAGGCTGAGTTCTTAGGCAAAGAACTTCTTGCTAATTTCTCATCTAAAACAGTTTGAGCTAGTTCAAAAGCCTGACCAGCCCTAACCCACCTCCCTGCCAAACCAGCCACAGGACACTCAGGCTCAAACCCATGTTCCTGACAAACAGGATTACTGCTATGAAGCAAAAGATCAAAGACCTTTAAAAAACCCTCACTTACAAATACAGAGCACAATAAAAGCCAAGAACACAACAGCAAACACAGGAAGATGATCACATTCCCAGCGCTGCTGAAACTGCAGCAGCAGCTCTGCTGTGGGCATGGAACCAAAGCAACACTGATCTGCCCAGACTCAGCATCCAGAAGGATCTGCAGTATCACCATACAGCTGAGACCTAAAGAGCTGATGCACTGCACCACAAATGCCCTAACTCCTACATTCCAGAGGAGGACTGCAACCAGGTTTCATGCACTTGAACCATCCTGCTCCTAGGAATCTGGGATAACTCCCAACAAGGCTCTGTCACCTGTAGTGGATGGAGTATAAATTTATACCTGATCTTGCAGAAGAATCTATTCACTTGCCTTCCAATGGACGTTGAGGTTTTCAAGAGCACACAACAGACTCACAGCTTATTACCTGGCACCTACCTAAACCTCAGTGAGGCCCATGGGCAGAATGGCTCTCCCGTGGTTTTTGCAGAAAGCTGACCCTTTAGAGCCAGGTTACAGCTTGGGAATGTTTGGTCTAACCAGGAAAAGGTGCATTTCCCTGCTGAGGAGCAGCAAGCCCTCAGGCAGGTTTTATTCGCCGGGATTGTCACACTTGGAGGAAGGAAGCAGCACAAGAGCAGGATGCCAAACCACCCCCCAGTGAAGGCTTCTGCCTGCGCCAGGGCAGATGCTGTCCTTCCTGGGCAGAGGGATGGGATGGGGATCTGGGACAGGAATGCGGCTGAACCATGGCTGCCCACTGAGATGACCTGGGGACAAAGATCAGGGATTCTCTTCCCTGGGAGCAGAAAGCTGGTGCTAATGGCAAAAACCCACACTGCTTTAGAACAACGGATGTGCCACATCCCGCAGTGTCAAACCTCCTGCCCTCCTCTGTGCCTGTGGATGCATGGGCGCGCGTCCTGGACACACAGAGCTCTGCAGCCCCAGAGGCCACCCCTGCAAGAGTTCAGGGTCTGTTCTAAACAACCAGGAGCAGAAGCAGGAGTTTCCAGCACGCACCCAGGAGAAGCAACACAGCACGGGCTGCTCCGGCACTCCCACCTCACTGCTGGAAAACCTGGGGGATTTGTTAAACAAACCTGCAAAAGCCGCTGCTCCCTGCTGGAGATAAAACACGACACTGCTGCAGTATCGATACATGTATGAGTAACCAACACACAGCAGGCCCACTGACTCAAGACAACGGCATGATCCAGCAGCCCATGTGCTGAGCTGGATGTCAGAAGGAAAGCCAAGGAAGCTCTGCTGAAGCCAAGTGCTTATTCATGATAGAACCCCAAAGTTTTGGATCAAATAAAGCCATTCACAAGTTCTGATTTAACAGCTGTGGCAGAGTGCAGAAAACTGATTTATCTGCTGAGATTACTGCTCCATCCCTGGCAGTGCTCAAGGCCAGGTTGGACACAGGGGCTTGGAGCAAGCTGCTCTAGTGGGAGGGGTCCCTGCCCATGGCAGAGGTTGGAGCTGGAGGAGCTTTAAGGTCCCTTCCAACCCAAACCAGGCTGGAATGCCCAGCAATGATGATGGAGATGGGGCTTAATACCTTGACTTTCTGGAGTGCAGTCCCCACATCCCAAATCTCCAGCTCTCCAGTCAGTTTTGGGATGCTCTCTTGCTTCTCCTGGTGCCATCCGTACCCTGGATTGGGAGCAAGGTGGGATCCTGACACCTGTCCCTTGTCAGGGCTGTGTCTCTTCCCTGTGCTAGGGCTGCCGGGCTGGTCCTGGTGCCCATGGGCAGCAGGAGGCTCTTCGTGCTGCTGTCTCTATGGATGCAGCATGGAGCAAAGGTCCACGTGTGGCTCCTCCACCTGCATGAGTGAATGTGACTCCCCTGGCCTGAGCGGGGGGGTCACAAATGCTCCCCTGAGCCTTCCCACATGGGCTCCATCAGCTGCCTGCAGTACCTGTGTAACCTCTCTGGGGATCCTGTCTCTGAAAGGGAGGAGCTGGGCAGAGTTTTAATGAAGGCTTTTTTCCAACAAGTTGATTAATTTCTGCAGGAGTTACTGCTTTTAACTGCCAGGGCAGGTCCTGTTGAACCTGTGTGAGGTTCATGCTATTGTAGGATCAGACAGAATTGTGTTCTTTATAAAGCGTGTTTCCTGTGTGCTCTCTGCAGCACAAGGAGTGGACTGTCGCAGGATTACTGGCTTGACTTCCTCATGAATGATGACTTGCTCTGTGTTGACTCATGCCAAAACCCTGAGCCTTTTTCCATGCAGAAAGCAGAAACCCCTCGAACCCGATGCTGGATTTTCACAGAGAGGTGCTCAGGTGATGGAGTGGAACACAGGAGAGCGCAGCTGCAGCTTGGCTGAAGTCACCTATGCCCTGATGCCTGGGGGGCCAGAGGTGGTTCCAGCACACCATCAATGGGTCAGGGATGGGGTCCCGGCCCTCCTCCTGCAGGAGGGCACCACGGGAAGGAGGGATGGGTTTCCTCAGGCTGCTGCCTGTCAGAGCTCCTCGGGGTGCCCTGGCCCCATCCCTCCGCTGCAGGGCTTGCTCCCCCTGAGCCTGCGCTGGGGCTGCTTCACTGCCCTTCCCGAGGGGAGATGTCTGCAGGAAGAGTGATTGGCAGTGCTGTCAATGGCATATGAGCAGGAAATACCCCTCAAAGCAAGCTGCTTGGGTGGAGGAGATGAGGAGGCTTCATGGGGCTGTCACTTGCCAGCCTGCCAGGACACGCAGGGTAACCAGGGCTTGCTTGCTCACAGGGCTGTGGTAGCAGAGGGCTCCATGCCACGGCACTCCAGCTTCCCAGAGGAACCATGTGCAGGAGGTGGGTCCCTGACTCCAGCATGTGTCCTGGTCTTCACCTGGAGCTGGTCTGGGAGCACTGGTGGTGGCGGTGCAGCCCTGGATCGCTGGCACATGCAGGAACCCTCTCAGTGCTGTGCTCATGAAGGCAAAAGGCCCAGGCCTGGGGTGCAACCTGTGCCATGGAGGGGTGCTAAGTATGGCCTGTGCCTTGTCCTGAAGTATCCAGGCATGAGTCCCCTGAGCAGGGCAGAGCTGGAGCGAGCAGGGTCCCCATGCACCAGCATGCTTGGGATGCTGTAATCCCAGACTGGTTTGTGTTGGAAGGGACCTTAAAGCTCCTCCAGCTCCAACCCCTGCCACAGGCAGGGACCCCTTCCACTAGAGCAGCTTGCTCCAAGCCCCTGTGTCCAACCTGGCCTTGAACACTGCCAGGGATGGGGCAGCCACAGCTTCTCTGGGCACCCTGTGCCAGCGCCTCAGCACCCTCACAGAGAAGAGCTTCTGCCTAAGAGCTCAGCTCAGTCTCCCCTCAGGCAGGTTAAAGCCATTCCCCTTGGCCTGTCCCTACATCCCTTGTCTCAAGCCCCTCTCCAGCTTTCCTGCAGCCCCTTCAGGCACTGGAGCTGCTCTAAGGTCTCCCCTTAAGGAGCCTTCTCCAGGTTGCTTAACTGCAACAGAATTAGGACAAACTTTAGAGCCTGACCCACTGACAAGAGGACTCCTGCAGCAAGGGCTTCCCCAGCCCCTGCCCAAGGTCCCTCCCTGCCCAACTTCCATGCTCAGTGAGCACACGTGGCTTGTGGCTGCAGTTTAAGCACCTCCATCTGAGCTGAAACCCCAAACAAGTAAATAAATACAATCCCAGGAAAGCTGGGAATTCCATTTTGATATTCCTTTCTAAAGCTCTGAAGAAACAAGTTTCCAGGCTCTTTACCCGGAGCTCTCTCCTCCTCATGGAATCAGCCAGTGCTGCGGATGGGGCTGCTCTGCAGGGCCTGGCCCCCTGCACACTCCTCTGTACCCCAAGATCCAGCACAGCCCCTGCTCCTGCACGGATCCAACGGGCACCAAGCAGGGTGGTGGCACTATGGAGGGACAGGCACCCCCCTGCTGCCCACGGGCACCGCACAGCCCACGTTGCCTCCAGCTCCCCAAGGGCTCGGACACCCTCTGCCCAGAGCACAGCCTCCAGGGGAGCTGCTAAGCCCTGTGGCTGATGCACATCTCCCTGGGCAGCTGCAGCTCACATAAACAGAGCCCATTCCTGGGCATCTGCACAGCCCCTGTGCAGTCAGAAATAGCAGTGGATGGCCCGTGGCACTGGGCCTGGAATGGGTCTGGGGCACGGAGCGGAGGCACAGAGGGGCAGCAGATGGCAGAGGCAGGAGCAGCACCACAGCACAGACCCATGTGTCTCCAAACACAGCCACAGCAGTCACAAGGCAAAGGGACGAGTGCTTTTGGGAAGAGGCAGAGCAGTGGGATGCCACCAGCGGCGCAGCTCAGACACCCAAGCACGCAGTGCAGGCTATTTCAGACTTGTTCTCCTGCTTTGCATTAGTACGCAGAGACGCTGACTCCCAGTGTTTGGAGGAAGACTGAGAAGCAGTAATTAAGTTGGGTGCTTGGTGTGAGTTGACTGAACCATCCAGAAACCAGGCCAAGAAACATCTCAAGCATCCATCTTCGGGCTGAAGCACCCCACGTGAGCAGGAAGGTGTTTTTACAACCTGAGCTACCACAGCAACCACTGTGTGAAGCCAGGCACCACTTGTGCCCCTGGTAGAGCAGAAGAGAAGAGGTAGGGGAAAAAGGAGAGGGATTTATGTTGCTTCATAAACTGCTGGCAAGCAGCACTGGCTACATGCACATACAGAGCCCTGAACAACTTTGGAGGTGAAGTCATAACCCGGCGTTCCAAATTTTACGTTAGAGCTTACTATATATAGCAAGTATGCAGTAGGCTTTGGTTTTACTGTACATAGTAGCTTTTGGTGATGAAAGGCTAAAGGAACCAAGGCTCTGTTAAGCTACAAGCAGCAAAATCAAAACCTTCCAATGGTTCTGTTACAGGTTACAGTTCCACAGCTCGGGGGTAGAATGGATAAAGAAAGGGAGGAGGAATAAAAGATCTTCCAGGCTGCAAAAGCAAATGCACGCACAGATTGCAGGCTTGATTCATGCAGAGATGTGCAGGAGAATCCACAAGCAGATTTGCCAGAAGGTTTTAGTGCATGACAGGGCTGTGGGCAGGGAGAGCTGGTGAGGAGCCATTCAGGGAGCACAGAGCACAGCCTTGCAGTGCTGCAGGGTTTGCTCGGCCTCCTGAGTGCCCCATCCCTGCTGGACCAGCACTGTCACCAGCATGCAGCACCGGCAGCGTGCGGCTCTCAGCACCACACATGAGCACAGGCTGCAGGCAGCACCAGGGGATGCTCAGTGGCATTCTGGTCCTGGCACTGCTCTAACCAGGAGTCAGTCTGAGTTCCAGGCCGCTGGTCTGCCTGCTGCTCCTGCAGAGGCCTTGTTTTACCCATCAGTGACAGGGCCATGATAAAAGTATTTTATGTGCAAAAAAACTATAAGGACAAAATATTAAACCCATAACACGATCATACCAGCTCCGGCTGCTTCCACTTGTGCACATCCATGAATTACCTGGATCGTTTGTATGTTTTTCTAGTAACTGTGCGCTTGGTCTGGCTCTGTGCTATCAGTAACAAGCCCTGGTGCTGCCAGCAAAGGCACAGCACCATGGATTTTACAGCAGCAATGTGCATTACCAGTCTGATGCCTGCTCTGAGAAACCATGTTAACAGGTATGAGGCTGGACATGCAGCCCAAGTGACACAGTGCTCCCGGGACCTGGGAATTGCAAGCCTTAGTGAAAACTGAAGCTGTATCCTTCAGGAAAGAGCAGCTGATGAGCAACTGAAGGGAACATACCAGTTCTGCTTAGGGAAATTCAAGGAAAGCGATGAAATTCAGTCTTCCTGAATGGAGAGAATTAGGTACAGGGCAGGACTCTGAAATAATGAGTTGATGTGTAAGTGATGTACTGAACACTGGCCACCTTGGTCTCACCAGGAACCCATGTACATGTGGCACATGCAGCACAGAAGTTTTGTTCTGCTGCTCTAGTTCTGAGCAACTGCAGTTGTTTCTCCAGCTACCACATCACCTCCAAACTGGTGGCAGCTCCCCTCAGACACTCGTAAAGCAGAACATCACCTGTGGAAAGCCAGCTGAAGGAGGCCACTGCAATGGTGATATGTGTTAAATGTACTTATATGGACAGCAGAGGTTTGGCTGAAGAGTAAGGAGGGAAGGAAGGGTCTGGTCTAGTGCAGGCCATCCCAGCAGCTTCTTGTCATTCTCAACACGTTCTTCTTTCCCCCACTTTACAGAGCTGCTTCACCCCTTCTCTGTACCAATAGCTCAGATACCCACCGTGCCTGCTCTAACCCAGCTCTACTCCTTCTTGAGGCCCTGCCCAACAGCCTTCCACCCTGCATCTCATGCCCAGGTCTCACCATCAGCACCCCATCTGCACTGGTCCTACAGGTAAGAACAGGCAGTGTTTTCCTTAGGCTAAAACATGTGACTGGGCAAACATCCTCCCATTTCCACTGATGGTCTGGACTCTGGGCTCCTCTTGGCCACACGCTTTCCTACTCCACACAGACTGATTGGCACGGCCAATCTGACTGCTGAGCACGAGCTGCTGCTCCCCCCTGCCCTCCGCAGAGGCCACCAGATGTGGCACACCAGCCCAGCAGAGCCATCAGTAACAGCGAGAGCGTCCTCTCTGCTTCCCAAACTGCACGGACACACAGCCAAGACAGTTAGGGAGAAGGATGAGGCTCTGCTGCTCCTTTAAATAGAGCACTGTCCATAAAGGAGCGATAGATTTTTACCATGATTCTCCTACTGGCAAGGACAGCACATTCTGGGCATCAGGTTTATTTATACTCCAGATCTAGCTAATAGGAATTTGGGTGCAATCCAAATGCTCTTGATATAATGAAGTCTTTACCCAGAGTTAAGCTGCATTCGAAGGGCCAAGATTAAGGATGAAGCTTAAATGCTGCTGCTGCAGTTACATTTTTACTCGCTTGAATGTCCAGCTTTCCAGACACCTTGAGCACACAGGATGAATATACCACACTTACATCCAGACGTGCTGAGTTGGAGCAGTAACTCAAGCAAGGCAAGTCCTTCATTACACTCAAGCAAGTGGTGAAGTCCCATGACAGAAGGTACAAAAAAAGTCCTTTTTCCCCTCCAGGATTACATGAGCACTGACCATCACAGTCCCACCGCTTAGATGAAGAACAGCCTATATAGGAGCAGTGCTGGCTTGGGTACACACAGCCCTTCAAACATGAAAAAGAGCAGAAAGATTTGGGGGACAACGTAACAAACCCCCTGTATAAAACAAGACCTCTGAGAACAAGACTCCTCCTAATGATTAGTTATGGTTTTCAGAAAGGTGTTAATCCCTCCCCTTTTCCAGCAGTATCACAGATGAGGTCTTGTCCAGACAGTGATGGCTGGAAGGTTGTGAAATGCTTCCAGATCCCATTCGAGCTGCTGGATTTCCCCCATGGACTTCACCAAGAGCACTGCAGTAGGGGCAGCATCACCTGGAACTCCAGATGTGTTTCTATTCCCGCTCACACCACATCCTGTGTGTTTAGGTACCAAGTTTTCACCCTGGGCAAAGTTTTGACTGTTTGATGTGAGGGAGCCCCATCCCCCCTCCATGCTTGCAGCAAACATGGAAGCACTCACAAAGAACCAGCTCCCACGTCTGCCTGTCCTTAAACAAAGAGGTGAAGCCCAAACGGATTTAATTTGATGATCCAGGCTGTTCCCCAGCAATGCACGGACACTTCAGGCACAAAACCTCAAGTGCTGGGAGAACACTGAATAATGGTTCCTCAGTCAAGGCTGGGTTCTGATATGACCATTCTGGAGAGCCATAAAATGCATTCATAAGAAACCCATATCATAGACTCACAGCCATTGCTTGTGTTGGAAGGGACCTTAAAGCTCCTCCAGCTCCAACCCCTGCCACGGGCAGGGACCCCTTCCATTAGAGCAGCTTGCTCCAAGCCCCTGTGTCCAACCTGGCCTTGAGCACTGCCAGGGATGGGGCAGCCACAGCTTCTCTGGGCACCCTGTGCCAGCGCCTCAGCACCCTTACAGGGAAGAACTTGTGCCTTAGATCCAGCCTGAACTTCCCCTGTTTCAGTTTAAACCCATTACCTCTTGTCCCTTCACTACATACGGTCATATTGGAGGCTCAGAGAAACTGCAGTGGAGCAAAGGGCCTCCAAGGGCCTCAACTGCTATGGGTAATTGCTGGGCACCAGTACCTAAAGATGATAAATATCATCTCAGCTCCAGGAAGAGCTTTAGTTCTTTGAACCAAAAGCTATTTCCCAGAAATTTAAAGTCCGGCAGCTCTTTGCCCTCCAGGCACACATGATTAGTTCTGACCCATACAAAACACCCTCAATACTTGCCACATCCACCTGTAAATGGCACTGATACATCACTACGGCTCTATTAGCTCTTTGATGCTTGCTTCCTCGCGTGTCCACTTCTTTGTGCACCCTCTGGGTTCCAACTCCCACGGTCCCCCCACAGGTTTTGAACTAAAGCTTCTTACCCCCTCTGCAATCACCAGCACCAACCAACAGCCAGACATTTAATAACTGCCAACCTCAGGATTTATGGAAAAGTGAATGCAAACAAACAGTGCAATGTAGATTAAAACACACAAGGAGGTTTTCCATGGGGAGCATTAGCTCCGAAGCACTCACCTGATACTGGAGGCAAAGTTATGTCTCAAACTGTGTTAAGAGATCTCTGATTTCTGGAGTCAGATGCTCCACTGCCTTGGCAGCCTCTGTGATAGCTTTCCGATACATCCCTTTCTTCTTGCGGTTAAACCTCAGTTTGAAAAACTCCGAGAAAGGAGAGAGTTTTGAGACAGACAAGAACGAAGTCGTTGGAGAACCAAACCAGGACACTTTAGCTTCTCGCCACGAGGGCTCCCCGTTCTCCTTCTGGCTGAGGTTTATGTCAAGAACACGCGCTGGCCACCACGGAAACCCATGAATCTTACCCCAAACTATATCCCCCACTGAAACAGTTCTTCCGTCCTCTGTGACGCACCTGGACACGCTCTGGGTGTGCAGCCGGACCGTCAGCGGCGGCACAATTTTACGTTCATCTTTTGAAGATGAGGAGACGGATGCATCATCCCCAGGCAGAAAGTCACACATCTCCGGCGATGTTACCTCTGAACTGGAAGACTTGGACTCATCCAGACTGTCATTACTACACACTGATAAGCTAGAAGAGTCTGCTTTTCTTTTACGATAATTCATAAGGAAAGCCAAGTTATCGTGTCCATCTTTACCTTGGGGAAACCTTTTAAAGTCCTCATCTTCACCTGAACTCCCTGAAGACACCTCAGCTAAACTTCTGTCTGTGGACTCGTCATTGTAGAAGGCGCCGGGGTTGGACTCCCCGCTGTTCTGAAGGACATTGATTTCATCAATAAGCTCTGCCTTGTAGATTGAAACACTCTGACCGTCATTGATGCGATGGGGCTTGAGCCGGATCTTTGGGGGTGGGACATCCGCGCTGGAATGCACTGGCCGTGTGAGCTTCAGCTTTGGAATGGAAGCAAGCTGGCTGCCTGCTGACTTGTCCAGGAAACACTTGGTTTCTCGACACCGTTCGGAGTCCCTGGTCTCCTCTTGGTCCTCCCCTCCGTTCTGCACCGTCCGCTCTGCACAAAAGGGTTTCACTGAGCCGTGCACCCGGGAAGGGATTTTGACAACCTCGCCCTTCCCCTGTGGAGTGCTGTAGGATATTTTGATGACGGGTGTTCGATGCACTAGCTCCCCAGAGAACTTGTCATCCTCTCTCTTCTCCCTTTTGTTCCTTTTCTCCATGTAGTCGGCGTCGCCGTGCTTCTTCTGCTCCTTGTCCTGGATGCTCAGCTTCCTCCTGGTTTTGACGGTCTGCCTGCTGGCGCTGGCATCCTCCGGGTTCAAGGTGTTCTTGCACTTCTCGCACAGGACCTGCCGCGGCCGCAGCCTGATGGTGCTCATGATGAGCCTGCCCGGGTCCCTGTTCCGCGACAGCCGCCGCCTCGTCCTCTTGATGGTGCGCGGCGGCGGCTGCGGGACCCACTGGTGGTACGTGTGCCGCAGCCACAGCGGCCGCGGGAACGGGGCGCCCTCGAAGTACGGGGGGTACGGCGGGAGGCTGGGGGGGGGCAGCAGCGGCGGCACTTGTTCATCACCGGCTCCTGGGGGCGGCTTCTCTGCAGCGGGCAGCGGCTCCGGCACCCCCGGCACCGCGGCTCCAGCAGCGACCCCGTTAGCACAGGCGTCCGCAGGAGGGTCCTCGGGCTTGGGGAAAGAGGATGGGAGGCAGAACAAGCCAGACCTGGAATGGGTGAGAAGGACAGGGAGGGAAAGAGACACGGAGTCAGATGTTTGAAAGGTGCTTCTCTGGGAACACTGCACACAGCAAAAATGCTGCTGTCAAACCAACCAATAACCCTCCCACAGCTGCAGCATACTGAGAACACACACTTCATAGAACCCCAGCCTGGACGGGGTTGGAAGGGACCTTAAAGCTCCTCCAGCTCCAACCCCTGCCACGGGCAGGAACCCCTTCCACTGGAGCAGCTTGCTCCAAGCCCCTGTGTCCAGCCTGGCCTTGAGCACTGCCAGGGATGGGGCAGCCACAGCTTCTCTGGGCACCCTGTGCCAGCGCCTCAGCACCCTCCCAGGGAAGAGCTTCTGCCTAAGAGCTCATCTCAGTCTCCCCTCGGGCAGGTTAAAGCCGCTCCCCTTGGCCTGTCCCTGCTATTTCCCTTCACTTCTAAGACAAGGCAGCAGATTCTGCCACTGATAAAGTCACAGCATTTCAAATTGAGGAAAGGGTTCTACTCTCCAGCCCGAAGTGTGGAGATCAAAATCTCTGCTTCCATGAGCACCCTGCACAAAGTTCTGCTCTAAGAAGTCTACTTTGTCAGCGGGCTGGTGAAGCAGGAGGAGCGCTGTGATGCTGATCATGCAAACCTTCTGGGAGCTATGAAACTGCCTTCCCAGATTTTCCAGCTTCTCATTTGAAACCTGAACATCTCAGCTCGGGTGGGTAACCTGCACTTTGGAGCCACAGGCTCAGCAGTCCACAGCGCTGCTGCTCTGCCCTGGCCTCACCACACAGCACCTCATTTGTTAACATAAGGGATACACGCTGCTGCCTCAGAACAGCAGGACTAAGGATGAGGTGCTACTATTCAACACCAAGGCTCATCAGAGCCTGGCCAGGCCTGGGTACAGTGCCTTGCACAGACATTGCCGAGAGCAAACCCTTTGAAACTCACAGCTGTGACTCGTGTCTCTGGGGTGCTGCACCAGAATTTACGCCCTTGGCCCGACACCAGAGACACTGTGCTCACACAGCACTTGGACAAATATTTGCCCTGAAACACTGACTCAGGACAGCAGCGCTTGGCTGCCCAGAGAGCTCTGCACAGAGCACACGGCCAGGGAGGTGTCTCAGCATTTTTAGTAACAAAAACCACTGTACGGGTGAGCCACCAAGAAGCCACAGAGATGGAGAACAGGCACGGACCGAACACGCGTTTCCATTTCGGATACTTCATTCCCATTGCCCTCCTCACAGGCCATCGTTTTCTTTCCAACCCTTAGGAAGGGCCTTTCCTCCAGCAAGGGAGGGGTTTCTTGGGGCTGTTGCAGAGAGGACTCTGGCAGCCATTTAAGCAGAAGGGTGCTGAAGGCTTCCCCTCACTCACACATCCCCTCAGCAAGAGGGGCACAAGTCACTGCTGCAGGTTTGCTGATGGAGAGGAAGAGGATGGAGAGGAGCCTCCTGCCTCCACACCAACACCCAGTGCCCAGCTCTGCCTCAGGCTGCGCTGCTTTCTGGTGGGAAGGACCCTAAAAACCACAGCATCCCAGCCTGAGGTTTGTGTTGGAAGGGACCTTAAAGCTCCTCCAGCTCCAACCCCTGCCACAGGCAGGGACCCCTTCCACTAGAGCAGCTGGCTCCAAGCCCGTGTCCAACCTGGCCAGGCACAAGCAAGGAAGTGCCTCCACCCCAGCAGCATGCATGCGAGACCAGACACAAAACAGAGCAGGGCTTTTTAAGCAGATCACAGGAGAATGGGGATCATGGATCCCACTAACTGTGGCTCTGATCACCAGCTTCACCCTCCTTTTCTCAGTTGAACACAGACTGCATCTCTCTCACCTGATCTCCATGAAGACACCCACCAAGTTTAAAAATAGATGTCACAAACCAAGCAAGCAGCAATGAGCTTGATGCTGGTACCAAGTCATGGCCCTTCTCTGAAATAAGACCCAGCACAGTTACCTGCGCTCTGCAAAGCCCTGTGCCATCACTCAGAGAGCAAGAGCGCAGGACCTGCTGCTCAGGTGCCAGGTCAGTTGAACTGGGAAGCTCCAAGTTTGAGTGGAGAGGATTAAACTGCTGAAACCACAGCATTTGGAACAAAACTCCTTTGTTCCAAGAGGGTTTTTTAAACAGAGACAACCGAGAGTGTAGGTGTCTTTCAAATGACAATCAATGAAGCAAGCACAGTTTGTACAGCCAGAGATGTCAGCATCATTCATAAAACAACTGAAAGTGGTGTCATTTCCGAAGCTCTGGATATGAATTCTGGTCACTTTATGGATTTGGCCACACCAGGATTCATTTTCGGCAGCAGCAGCTTCCTCAGGAGCAGGCAGTGGCTCTGTCCTGGAGGACCATGGCTACGCAGGGACAAGGATCTCCACAAATCCTGCTCATCACGTTGGAGCAGCAGGACTGCTCACACTGGTGGCCCAGCCCTACATCCTGCATCCCACCGCAGCATCCATCAGGAGATTGCCATGGCACAGGGTGCTGGGATGGTGGGACATGCAGCCGGGTGTGCTGACCATGCAGCCAAATCCTGCCCTCTGTGGCTTGCGACCCCCACAGCAGGAGCTCACAGCTCCCTCCTCGCTGCCTCAGGACCCCAGCAGCACCCAGAACCACTGCAGCCACGCTGCCTGAACTGGGCGCTCCTACAGGCACAGCCAGGGCAGGCAGGGTAAGCTACACCCCTGCAGCTCCTGCTCCAGCCAGCACACCAGAAACCTGTGCCAGGTGCCACACGGGTGCCCCAGCACACCACACATGGCCACGGGTTACCTGCTGTGCTGGGATGTTGATGGGTGCACATGGGCGATGGACACTTGCTGCCAGGGAGTCTCTAGATCTTTCCCTTCCTACTGGAAGGGCCTCCAAAGGCTAGGAAAGCAGTTCTGCTGAGCAATCATTCCATTTCGAGCCTGCCTGCCTACCTACCAAGCCACTTCTGCACAGAGGTAAGAGGAGTTCTGCCCTCTGTCCTGCCTCCCCACCAGCCCGGGTGCACCCTGGCCCTGTTCTCAGGCGCAGGGGGAAGAACAGCTCCAGGGAAGTCACCAACAGATACCTCTCCTCTTGTCCCTGCAGCACTCACAGCACCCTGTGAACAAGCACCATCACCCACGGCTGCTTTTGGTTCCTCTGCGCCTCCTCACTACCTGCTCCTGGTGGGGATGCAGCACTAAAACCCTCCTGAGCAGCAGCTGCCCCCCCCTGCGGGCACAGCTCCCGGTAAAAGGATTGAGCTCTGGAGCCTTCCCACCCCCTGCGGAGCATGAGACACTTCAGCTGACACCCACCACCTCCAGGAGCAGCACAGGGAGAAGCACCAGCTCCACACCACCTCCAGGAGCAGCACATCGGCTTCACCAGCCTCCCTACACCCCCCAGATGTTTCTGCACACATCTGGATGCAGTTCACGTGTTTCTTCCACTTACTGTCACTATTGATTGTGTAGATCTAAACCCATCTAGCTAAGATGAAGGTGCTTGAGCTGGCGGATCAGAGGCACTGCTGCATGTACAGATACGATGAGGAGCAGGAAATACTGTGGGATGAGATTTCATCCTCCTTGTACACCCCTTTCTGGGACAGCCATAGCCAAATGGACAAAGTTACCTGAGCCTAAGCTCTGTCTAGAGCAGAAGAAACCATCCTTGGATTTGTACTCGTATAAAAAATAGCTAAAAATAGCTAATTTAAGTTGCAACAAAACTGCCACATCTTGTTACCAAAAACGCTGTAACTGTGGTCAAAATGCATTTAAATCTCCTGGTGAGCAGGAGTGCTGTGCAGCTCTGGAGGAACAGGAGAGGGCTGCAGGCAGCAGGAGCAGGGCTATAGAATCACAGCATCACCCAAGCTGGAAAAGCCCTCCAAGTTCCTCCAGTCCAACCCTTACCCCAGCACTGCTCAGGCCACCCCCAACCCATGGCACTGGAGCCTCATCTCCACGCTGTGTGAACACTTGCAGGTTCGGTGACTGCAGCCCTGCCCTGGGCAGCCTGTTCCAATGCCTGAGCACCCTCTGGGGCAGGAATTGTTCCTCAGCTCCATCTAAACCTGCCCTGGTGCAGCTTGAGGCCCTTTCCTCTTGTCCCATCCCTTGTTCCTTGGGAGCAGAGCCCAGCCCCTCCTGGCTCCATCCTCCTGTCAGGCACTTGTAGGGAGCCATCACGTCCCCCCTGAGCCTTCTCCTCTCCACACTGAACCCCCCAGGTCCCTCAGCCCTTCCCCATCACACCTGGGCTCCAGGCCCTGCACCAGCCCTTCCCTGGCCCTGCTCCAGCACCTCAATGCCTCTCTTGCAGTGAGGGGCCCAGAACTGAACACAGGATTTGAGGTGCAGCCTCACCAGTGCCAGTGCAGGGGCACAATCCCTGCCCTGGCCCTGCTGCTGCACTGGTGCTGATACAGGCCAGGATGCTGGTGGTTACCTGGCTGTCAGGGCACAAGCAGCTCATGTACAGCCAACCAATACCCCAAGTCCTCTCCCACCAGGCAGCTTTCAGCCACTCTGCCCTGAGCCTGCATTAATGGTAAAACCAGCTTAAAACACAGAATAAAGACAGAGAGACACCATACAGGCCCCCACTGCCCTTTCTTTAAGGGTTCTCCCCTCTGGTAAAACAACACGCTCTGGTTGCTCCTCTCCTGTCAGTCCCACACAGCCCCAGCTCTCCAGTGGGACAGCACTACCACGTGGCATTGACTGCTGCCTGGCAGGTACAGGCAGAGCACATGGCAACCTCCACATAGGGCACAGGCCATCGAGGGTCACAGCTCTATCAGCAGGACAACAGGGAGGAGTAGGGAAAACGTCTCTGCCAAACCTCTGTTCTGAACTAGTTTGGGGGCCTTCAAGGTTCAGCACCAAGCTGACAAATTCCTACTGCCTTTGGGACACAGCTCGACCTTTACACAACAACCACAAGCAGACAGACTCCTGCGTCCTGCTGTTCATGGGATGAGATTCCTTCTTCCCTCCACATTCCAAATGCAGGGCTGCAGAAGGGGAGAAGGTAGCTTTCAGCCTGCTCCTCATGCTCACCCAGACTCACTATGCTCCCAGCAGCCAGACCTCACCTCACACACAACGCTACCTGTTGACAGCCACAAGCAGAGGCCACAGCTCTGCAGCCAGGTCTTGGCCACCACGTCGCAGGCTCATGGGAGGGATGTGGCCCCAGCAGTTGGTCTGCAGAACACCCAGAGAGGCGAGAGGCTCCCCCAGTGCTGCAAGAGGCTCGTGGAAGCAGAGCTGTCCCCTTCCTGGGGCTCTGAAGAGCGGGATGTGTCGAGGAGAGGATTAAAACACAGCCCTGAGGAGCCCATTCCATGGTGACAACCTGAGTCGAGGCTGCTCTCCTGTCCCTGTGCAGTGCTGCTGCACCGATGGGCTGTGGAACACCACCCAAAGGTGTCAGCTGCCGTTAAGGTGACAAGAGGGAGCAGCATCAATCGTGATGCTGCGTGACCTTGGGGCTCACCTCTGCCACAGACGAATCTGACCAGTACAGACCACAGTTACTGGGGCAGGAGGGAGGCGATGGGGCAGCTCTCCTGCCCCTGAGCCAAACCACATCAACACCTCCTCGTTCTGCCCACCCTGACCCACTACATGTCTGTGGGCAGGATGCTGCTGCAGCATCCCCACTGTGGGTCCAGGCAGCCTCCAGCTGAGCTGCAGGTCCCCTGGTTGATGGGATGACAGCAGAACAAGAACCAAACCTCAGACAATCCCACTGTCCCGACATGGCAGCCATGGGCCATCTCCTGTCCCAGCAGAGACCAGTAATCCAGGGCTCCAGAAGCATCTTAAAGCCTGGGAGGAAATACCCATTGGGTCATTCCTGGGATTCGCAGGGGGAAGAAAGAAGGAAAAAGAAATCATGGAGAAAGGTTAGAGAGGAAAAAGATCAGGTATGAGAAGTGCGCGCTGGCAGCAGGGAGGAAGACAACCGGAATGTTGGAAGGCAGAAGCAGTTGGAACCGGCCGAGGAGATGCCTCGTGCCGCCGCGTTGGCTGGAACTGGACGCCAGGCCGGGTTTAGAGGCTCTAACGGAGCTCGCTGCCTGAGCGTTGCTGAGGACCTGGCTCCAGTTTTCAGGGGAGGCACGTGAAGCTAAACAAGCCCTGTAAATGAGGCTGGGAAGCCTTGCTTCGCGCTGCTGCTGAAGGGAAGCACAGAGCCACGTCGGAGGGACCCCCATCAGCACCGACCAGGCAGTGCGGCCCCCGAGCAGACAGGAACCGAGCTCTGAGCCCCAGCGCGGGCAAGCGCGGAGCCCCCGGTCCGGTGTCAGTCCTGGGGCGGCTGCACCTACCAGCGAGGTGCGTTAGAGGTCGGGGCGTTCTGAGATGAAGCGTTCACGTGTGGGTGCTCCCCGTCCTTCTGAAGGACGGGCCCTGCCGGGGGACCTCGGCACCGGCCATGGCACCGGCCCGGGGCTACTGCAGTTGCTGCAGGACGGGAAGCGGGGCCAAGAGACCCCCCCAAGACCCCCGGGAACTGCGGCCACGGCACCGGCGCAGTGACCTGGCGGGCAGTGCCAGCCCCAGCGCGGTGACCAGGCCGCAGGGACCCCGGGACGGACCCGCGGGGCCGCTCAGGGCGCCGGAGTCGGCGGGGCCAGCGCTGGCCGGGCCGCAGCCTCCTCCCAAGGGCGCTGGGCGGCCGCGGCACAAGGTTGGCGGGGGCCCGCAGAGAGGGGACGGGGCGGCCGCGGGGGCACGGACACGGTCACCCGGTCCCTGCCGGCCCAGCGGCCACGCCGGGCTCCAGGCTCGCAGCGCCCCGGCCCCGCCGGCAGCGGGACAGCCCCGGCAGCCGCACCGGCCCCGCTCAGCCCGGGGCGCTTTGTTCCCGGCCGGGCGCACAAAGGGCGAGGCACGGGACCCCGCTCCGCTCCGGTCCGCCCCGGTGCCGCCGCGCTCCCGCCGCCCCCCGCTCCCGGCGCGTACTTCTTGCCGCAGTCGATGAGGACGCCGGTGAAGCGGCGCTCGCCGAGGCTCAGCGTCACCACCAGGGTGTCGTTCACCACCTGCTCCACCACCACCGGCACGCTCGCTCCCGCCCGCGGCACCTCGGCCATGCCGCCGCTCCCCCCCCGCCGCGGGGTCCGCCGGGGCCGCGCCGCGCGATGACCTCACGGAGGGCCCCGCCGCCGTGCGTGCGTGACGTCAGGGCACCGCCCCCGCGCCGCAGGGCGGGGCAGCGAGCGCGTGTGCGGGAGGGGCGGGGCTAAAGCGTGGCGGCAGTGCGCCCCCTGGCGGCGCGCGGCAAGCATGAACGGGCCCGGAGGGTGGGCGGGGTCAGAGGGGGCGGAGCAAACAGGCCACGCCCCTTCTCTGGCCTCGTCACGTAGACCGGAGCGCGGCGCGGGTTGGGGGTGCGGGTGCCGGTAGCGGGGGCCGTGCACCGGGACCGGGAGGACCCCATGCACCCGGCCGGACCTCAGAGCGCCTCCAGCCCCAACCCCTGCTCCCACAGACAGGGACCCCTTCCACCAGAGCAGCTTGCTCCAAGCTCCTGTGTCCAACCTGGCCTTGAACACTGCCAGGGATGGGGCAGCGAGAGCTGTGCAGCCCTTGCAGGCCGTTTCCACTTTTACTTCAGCGCTGTGAAGACCAAACCCATGTGAAACAACGGCCAAATCCTCTTCAATGTAACTCTGAGAGAGAAAGAAGGGAGAGAAAGTTCTTCCTTTAACCTTGCCTTTGCTGGTCATGTGCACAGTGCAGCAAGTGCTGGCCCTGTGTCCCTCAGGGGCTATGCAGAGGGAGAATTCTCAGGGAGCACCTCTCAGTTCCTGGTGTCTGAAAGGTGACTTTTTGGTAGATCTCATCCGCTTCACTTTGATAACGAGCTCATCAGATAACGTGACCTTAAAACAGCTCCAGCGCCTAAAGGGGCTGCAGGAAAGCTGGAGAGGGGCTTGGGACAAGGGTCTGTAGGGACAGGCCAAGGGGAATGGCTTTAACCTGCCTGAGGGGAGACTGAGCTGAGCTCTTAGGCAGAAGCTCTTCCCTGTGAGGGTGCTGAGGCGCTGGCACAGGGTGCCCAGAGAAGCTGTGGCTGCCCCATCCCTGGCAGTGTTCAAGGCCAGGTTGGACACAGGGGCTTGGAGCAAGCTGCTCTATCGAAGGGGTCCCTGCCTGTGGCAGGGGTTGGAGCTGGAGGAGCTTTGAGGTCCCTTCCAGCACAAACCAGGCTGGGGTTCTGTGGTTTTCACTGATCACAGAAGGATCCTGTTGTTACCTGGGGGCTGAACAAGCTCAAGTACACTGGATTGGTACAGAATTAATAAAGTATCTTTGCTGTCAGATGAAGCTGAATTCCCACTGCACACAAAGGACGGAAACGCAGACATGAAGCGTTGAAGCCTTATGAAGGTTTCAAGCACAGGCTTGCCCAAAAAAGGCCAATAAACTCAGATGAAGAGCACAATGTGTTATTTTCTCTGTTGCTCTAAACAGCAAAATAAGAACAGAAATCCTTCACACTTAGGTATTATTTATTATGGAATCTTTCCAATGTTGCAGCATCTGGAGGACAGGACAAGCTGTAGCCCTGAGGCAGCCTTGACTTGCTGCAGACCCTTGCAAACATGCTGAGAACAGCACTCAGGCATAGAGAGTTCCAGGGTCACCAAGGACAGGGAATTCTGTGCTGGTTATCGAAAGGAAAGGGATTTTTTGAAGCATCCTCCACAACATGGTGATACAGAAAATCTGCCTCTGAATCCATTCTACAGTGACTAAGGCAGTTTCCATCGTTGCAGCACCCATTAAATCCAATGGTGCTGAGCATACCTTGGGCCAGACACAGCCCAACCATGGCAGGGGACAACAGAGAGAGTGGGGACAGAGGGAGAACACAGCATTAGGGAGGGAGGAAGAGCTCTGGTACTGGTGAAGCTCAGCACAGGGACCCCTTCCCGGGACCCTGCAGTACCGAAGGTCACTAAGCAGGGGTTCAGCTCCTGTTGCACCTGAAGAGTAGCTCTAAAGCCAGTTATGATTCAACACTGAACACAGCACTCATGATGAAATCCAGGCTATCTGACATGGCTTGGACTGGGACATCCGGTGCAAGGCTGGAGCTGTGTTACTCATGAGATGAGCTAGCTCAGAGTACAGTTCCTCATATCAGCACAGTTACAAATGGGTGCTCCAAACCTTGGGGGTGACTTCGGCATCTTGTTTTCACAGGATTTGTGTCTCCTGTAGAAGCGAGCTTGAGAAGAACGTGCAGAGAGGCTGAGGAGACTGTACCACACCTACCACACATCTGCTGCAGGGACAAACCTCACTACTGATTAGAGCACATGGAATGTCAGTGTGCTTTAACATTGTCAAGGTCAAGGGAAGACTGAGTGAGAGGAGAGGAACCACTGGCTTTCACAATTCCAGGCAATCAGAACAGAACGTGTGACTGGGGAAACTCTTTGGAATTTGCCCTTGGTGAGTCAGGATAATCTCCTGGGAAGGCTGGGAGACGACTCCCAGGGAGTAGCTCCTCCTGTTGGGTTTGCTGGCTTGGTTTGTGGATCTTCAACCTTGGATTTAAGCAAAGCAAAACCCAGAGGATGGACATGTAAGTGTGTATAACAAAGAGCAGAAATCAGTGCATATGTCTGATGTTGCACAGGTTGGTTTGTGGGAATACAGAAGCTACTGATGATGAAAGAGCTGGAAGCATTAAAGCTCAACAGATTTTGAAAGCAGTAAACACTCAGTACATGTATTACTAAACTTATCAGTACTAAATATATCTGTGAATACTCTCAGCTCCATATTGGTGTGTAATGTACTTTTTACCACATTTAGAGTCATGTTCATTCACTCAGAAGTTTCCCAAAATTGTAGCAAACTTGATGGAAACTGTAAAGCTCTTGTCAGCCCTCATGACAATATGCTGCTTTATGGAAATGCAACCAGAGATTTTAAAGCATCATTTCTTTCACCATGCAGTGGGTTATGAGTGCTCCGGGGTACAAATGGTCACCTTCAAGGGCTGGAAATCCCTCCGCTATGGTGAATGGACTCAAATCCCCAACTGCCACCCAGTGACGGATGCTTTTTGGGCAGAAATCCCTCCGCTATGGTGAATGGACTCAAATCCCCAACTGCCACCCAGTGACTGCTGCTTTTCGGGGTAAGGACCCCTCTGAACACATTAACAGGCCATTAGCAGCTCCTCTGCTCTGGCTCCCTCGAGTGCACAGCAGCCTGTGCAGGTGTACTTGGCACTGCAGCTGCCAGTGGCTGAGCCCCTGGGGGCAGCCGCCAAGGAAGGGGCCCTGCTGAGCAGCGCCAGGACTCAGGGGTACGAACCCAAAGGGCAGGTTGTTCATGGGGACAGGAAAGGAACCAAACCGCAGCCCTGTGCCACCCATGAGAGCAGGGGGATGCTCCCTGTGCCAGGAGGCCCCGGTGTGGGGCACTGGGGCCCTGCGGAGTGCACTCCCTCATGCCACGGTGCTGATGGCATAGGTGGCTCTGACAGCTCCCTTGAGGAACTCGCTGTGTGCGACGCCGGGGTAAGTTTAGAACAGTGTCACCGTGCCCTGGCGTGGGGACAGACGGTGCCCTGCGTGTGGCGAGTTTGCCCTGTCGGGTACAGCAGGGAGGCTCTGCCTTCGGTGCATGGGAGCGCTTTGGCTGGGAGGCCAAATGGAAACCAGAACATAAAATAACGGCAATAATATCAGAGATTCTTCTCCCCACAAGCGCACGGGCTGTGCAGTGGTGCAGACCCTGCAAACCTGAGGCTCTGGAACCCAGGACTCCGTGTCACCAGCTCACACAGCCGCGGCCGTGTGTGCGTTCCCACCGTTTCTGCTCAGGGAGTGCCAGGACTCCCCGGGACCTGGAAGCCCACGTGCCAGTGAAAGGTTCTGAGCTGGGTGAGCCCAGGCAGGCTCAGGTTCTCATTGCTGCCTGAGAAGGAGCTGCAATGGAACAGGCTCTGATGGACTGCTGCTCCTCTTCGGAGCACGTAAAGCCTGGGAGCACTATAGAAAGGGTTTGTTTATTACCACGATGCAATTCTTTACTGGGTAGAGGCTTTGTCACGTTTAGTACCACCAACACTACCCCTACGCGCTAATGAAAGGGATTCCTTGCTTGATTGGAATGCACAATAGGTACACCATGTGCCATGGCATTAGATATAAGGCAGAAGCTCTTCCCTGTGAGGGTGCTGAGGCGCTGGCACAGGGTGCCCAGAGAAGCTGTGGCTGCCCCATCCCTGGCAGTGTTCAAGGCCAGGCTGGACACAGGGGCTTGGAGCAAGCTGCTCTAGTGGAAGGGGTCCCTGCCCGTGGCAGGGGTTGGAGCTGGGTGATCCCTAAGATCCCCTCAGCCCACACCACTGTGATTCCATGATTTGTACTTGCTCTGCCCACAGGAAGTGTATTTCTAGGGCAGTTTGCTTGTTTGAATGTGGCGAAATCATCAGCTGGGAGTGTTCCACAGAGGGAGCGGCCCAGGAAGCAGAAGGGACAGGGGATGGGGCAGCCAACAAAGAAGAGGCAAAGCACTGACTCACGTTACTGACAGAGAAGTGACTTCACTCGCACTGGCCACGCAGCTTCAGTCCGGACAATAGAATTCTGACTAATGTTGCAATAAGCAGATAAATTATACAGCTACAGCTGGGAGGACAGCTCTGGTTCTCTGTTCCCAGCCAGGATACTGACTGACGGCTCAAGGTGCAGATTTGAGAGTGAGCTTCCCAACTGTAAATGGGTAACTGTGAATTTCAGCTCATCGCTGTATTAACCACTTGCACTGACTGCCTTGGGTACCCCGTGGTTAATATCAACACCCTCATCCACTGAGTGCTGTAACAATCCTTGGCCACCCCTTATGTTTTCCTTGGGTTTTGTCTTCTACCTTAGAATCTCGGCTTTGCTTTTGAAAGACTCGAGTGCTGCAGGTGTTCACATGTGTTCGCACAGTGCCCGTGGGTACAGGCACACCACAGACGCACTTCTGGCAGCAGCAAAAATACGCGGTTTAATTCTTAATGGTTTAAAGTATTTGGTACCAGGGATTTTTGTGAGGTTAAGGAAATGTCAAGCCAACAACGTCCATCAGCACAGAGCCCTGCGGCCGCTGTCCTGCCTCCAAAGAGCAGATACTCACTGCCTCACCATCTTGTTTTGCTTTCTTCATTTCCGCTTGGGAAGCTCCTTTTAACTCCTGCCCCCCATGCTTTCACCACTGCTGTGTGCTCTTTGATGTGCTGCTCCAGCTTCTTTTCCCAGCGGGATCTAAGTAAACACGGTAACATTATTCCAGTTGCTCTGTATTCATTGGCCCTTCTGTGCCCAGTTTCAAGTGTTATAGCTCATTTCTGCCAGAAAGAATTACAGACACAGGGAGCAAAATGTGGCCTTGCCTTTGCTAATGTGCACCCGGTGGGGCACGTGCCGTGTGGGGGTCTGGCACTGTCCCACGCTGGCTCGCACGCTTGCAGGGATCTATGGAATTGGTTCGTTATTGATGTCACACCACATCCCGCACCTCGCTCAGTGCAGAAGCTCGATGGTGCTCTGGGGAGAGCTGAGGGCTTGGCAGCGCCACAGACTGGATTTGGTGGGTCCTCGGCATGGCTGCTATGGGAGCTGGAAGGCTTTGAGGGAAGGAGGCAGCACAATGGCAAAGGACAAAAGGAGAGCAGTGCAGTGATTCACGGGGGAATGCTGAGCGGGTTCAGCACAAGCAGTGGGTGAGATGGAAGCATGTTGACAAAACAGGAATCTGAAGGGCCTGAGCTGCCCCAGGGCAGGAGGCTGAGCCTGCTTGACTGTCTTGCTTTGTAGGTAAGATCATGTTGGGCAGCAGAAATACAAAAGGAGTGCTGCGGAGCACTGCTCTCCAGTGCAGAGGCACATCCACACAGGAGGAGAGCCAGTGCAACAGCAGGGCTGGAGTACCAGTGGCTGCTGAATAATGGATTTACTGCACTTGTCTGGCCATAGCCCTGGTACCTGCAACCGCCTCTCTTCCATGTTACAAGACAGTGTAATATAGTGTATTTTTCCTTAAAGCTGATTAAATTTTTCCTTGACTTACAGACATCTGTTATGAGCTATGTTCTGAGATTACAGCTTGAACATGCTTATATAGTTGGTCCAGTTACAGCCTCATACAAAGCCAGTGCAAAGTGGAGCAAACCAGCACAGCTTGCACTCACAAACCAGAACATTTCCAGCTTTCCCCATACACGTTAAAACTAAAGAGAAAAAAGCCCTGAAACTCAATTTGAATACATTCTAAAACCAGCACCAGCCCCATTTTACAGGCTCTAAAACCTGGGCCCATGTTCATACATAAACTCTCAGAAAGAGGAATGACTTCAAGTGTTCTCAGGTATTTTCCAGCCCTGCTGACAGACTCGAGCAACTGAGACAAGCGTGAATTCAGGCTCTGCGCTGAGCCTGTCAGGGTGAGGCCATCAGGACCAGAGGTGCTGAGTTTCTGGCCAGCCCCTGGCTCACGCTCCCTGTGTTCAGATGATACAGAGATACAATAACATCATTGGTTTATTATTAAAACTAATTATTACAAATACATTAGGAATTGCTTTAGGAGCATGCTTGGAGGCTGGATGTTGCACTATACATGAAGGAGCCAATGCATGTAGCTCAGGGACAAGTCTTGAAGCACTAGTGAGTCTCCTTTAAAAGGTTTTGGGTTTTGTTTAATAAGCCTGGAATTAAGTTGCCCTCTTATTTCTCCTTTAACCACAATGCTTCTTTACAGGGGTGCAAGATTTCTTTACTTGATAGGATAGCAAAAATGAAATGAATACTTTCATAAAGACAAAATAAATGGAAGTTATCAATTGCATTATATAGCAACAGTTTCAGCACTCACCTTGAAGCTTCACCCTTTACTTCCAGCATCCATTCTTCCACTATCTGAGGTGTAGGGTCCTGTTTCTCAGCTCTCTTGTTCATGGTGTGTTAACTGATGTTATCAGGTGCATATGGTGCATTTTTGGGTAGCTACAGCAAAATAGAACGGTAACACGTTATCTGATGATGGCAGTGATTAAAACCTGGTTGCACATTGAATTCAAAGCACGGTGAAGGCTGCAGTGATGGCTGGTGGACAGTGACCACTGGAAGCACTGTGGCTGGCGCTAGGCTACTGGGCTCTGGGGACACACGTGTGGCAAGACACTTCCCATGTGTTTTCCCAGTTGCCACACAGCAGGAACAGGCTTTGATTTCTGTACAAAGGTTTAATATGGAGCCCAGAAAATCAGACCCCAAAGCTGTGAGAAGGCTGGGCTGGAGCACCTTGAGTTTTAGTACGGTAATACTGGTGCTGTGGAGCATAGTGACTGTGCTCATGAGCTCTGCTACGGCTACACTGGCTGTAAGTCAGAATCCTACAACTCAGTTCTGCATCTTGTACTTCTATGTGTTATTGCTTTAAATCAAGCTGCAACTTGGTGCTACGCTGGTCAAGTGTTAACCAGGTTAAGTGTCACTTGGGGCAAGCTGCTCTGGTGGAAGGTGTCCCTGCCCATGGCAGGGGGTTGGAACTGGAGGAGCTTTAAGGTCCCTTCCAAAGCATTCTCTACGATTCACAGATGAAATGCAGTATGTATTTTGTCTTTACTTACAAGAGTATTGCTTCCCTCAGATCTGGGAATAAAAACCAGATAACCCAAATCCTTTGAAATGATTTAAATACAGATCAATGGTGATGCTTTGCACAAGCTCCTGCCATAAAGTGAAAAACTTAAAAATGCCTCTTAATGCCTTAAGAACAACCCACACAGCCCAGAGCAGCACCCACCCTCCTGGGGGGGGGGGGGCAGGAACGTGCCAGAATGTATAGCAATATGTTCGACATAGAATACTGCATTAGCAGTAACTGTGAATGCAGCACAGTCTATCATCCAGCTTCTGTCCTGGCACTTTTTTCTCAGTAGATATGTGTTTGCCTTGAGAGCTTGATCTCATATTACTGAAAACAGGAAATGACCATTCCAACATGAACAATGTGAAAACTGGAGTTTTTTTTTTACTGGAGTAAAAAGTCTCTCTCCATCTTTCTTACAGGCCCCTTTTAAGTATTGAAAGGCTGGAATAAGGTCTCCCCAGAGCCTTCTCTTCTCCAGGCAGAACAAACCCAACCCCTATTTATTTATCTGGGAACATGGAAGCAAAATAATGTAAATGCATCAGGTAAAAGCATACTTGTTCCTTCTCTTGCCACTCAAAATTCAGTTCTGTTCTATGCCAACTGGATTTCTGTGGTCCTAAAAATAACCAGTTGGGTTGGCAAAACAAAGCCCTTCCTGCACAGAGAAAGCAGAGTGCAAAGCCTCAGCGGGAGAAGAGAACACCCTGGGAGCTGTTATCCATTGGGAGGGTTCTCAGGGCTTCAGCAGGAGCTCAGGGAGCCAGTTTTCAGTGAAAACCAATCCAGTCAGACCCCGTATTCAGATGTGACCCTGGCTCATCATAGCAGAAAGAGACATTTCTCTCACAAACTGCTCTCTCAGCCCGCACGCATAAAACCCACCCTGCAAACCTCTTCCTGCACCACAGAGAACCTTTGCTTTGGCTTTGCTTCTGTGGCAAGACTGGCCAAGATGTTGTCACAAGTGGAGGCATTACATTGATGTATCTCTCTAACTTCAGGGCAATAAGGGCAGCAGTGAACATTCACAGGCTAGAATCAAGTTAAAATGTGTGGTAACCTGGACCTGGGTTACAGCTCCATTGAAGATCACAGAATCCCAGCCTGGTTTGTGCTGGAAGGGACCTTACAGCTCCTCCAACTCCAACCCCTGCCAAGGGCAGGGACCCCTTCCACTAGAGCAGCTTGCTCCAAGCCCCTGTGTCCAACCTGGCCTTGAACACTGCCAGGGATGGGGCAGCCACAGCTTCTCTGGGCACCCTGTGCCAGCGCCTCAGCACCCTCACAGGGAAGAACCAATGAACTGTGACACTGAACCTGTACAAATTCCTTGTTACCACTGAGCGATGGAGTGCGTTTTCATTTTAAACCTGCTGACATCTCACAGAAGACTGGGAATCTTCCTACGCTTCCAGGGTTAGAAGGAGCATGTTCAGCAGCCATGAAACTGAGATGCAAGAATTCCTCACAGCAAGAGAAACACCACCCGAGCATCCCCGGCTCCCTCAGTGATCATCTCGAACTGCCTTACTCACTGTCTTTGCTACAGCTCGTTTTCACACCACAGCATTGGGAGAATCGTGTGCATCCATTTTTAGCACCTCATCTCTCGCAGCGCTGCATTATGAGGAATGAGTTTAATGGCAAAGCCAACAGGACAGCAGGGTTTGGATTTTAGATTTATTTTGTTACTCTGGAGAGAAAACTTCTCAGGCCTTTCACACAGGCTCGGGAAGAACCAGAAGCGAGGTCCCCTCCTCCCGTGTGCCCTTCCATACCCATATGTTTACAAATCCCTGGAGGAACCAGCAAATCCAGCCGGCTTCCAAGTCACTTTGGCAGCGGCTGCATTGCAGTGGAGGCGTTCAGTGATTTCAGACTCCCATCTCTACACACGCACGTCTGTTCCAACGCCTCCGAGCGCCGCTTGCTGGAGCCACCGCAAATTTCCAAGAGCATCGTGAAGGATCTGGCGACTCCCACACTGCACAGGGGGCTCCTGCAGGAGCCACAGTCCACGCAGGAGTCTGCGCTAGGGTCAGCAAAGCCACCGCTGAGGGCATGCTGCTTCGAGTCCTGGGATTCTCTTTTTAGGTTTTAAATTTGAATGTATGGACTATATGGAAAATAAATCAGAGGCTACCACTGGTGGACTGGGGGTTCCCATGTCCTGCCTTGCTGGTCTCTACGACATACCATATCCGCCTTTGTAGGTAAGAATCTAAACGCTTCTTTCTTTCCTCGGCTTTGCCTGGCTGCACCATTCCCAAAGCATTTTTTTACTGCTGAAAAGGGGAATTTGTGTCAGATTTTTAAAGCCATCACTTTAAGAGGTCGATGTTGTTACTCTTGAGATGATACTTATTAGACATATTGATTCCTAACAAAGAGAAACAAAACACCAGGGGCCTCTTCATGAAGCATTAACTTACCCAAGGAAGATGACAACTGTGAAGACCCACCCTCACTTCCCAGTTCAGTGGAGGAAAACAGCAGGACAGAGCAGAACATAGATCCAAATTAGAGCCATGCAGAGCAATGAAATGACTGGTAACAAGCACTCTTGGCTATAGATTAAATTGGTAAGCTTCAATAACGAGTAGAGCTGAGTGAACATAAAGAAGTAGTAGACAGTTGTACCACAAGTAGTTCTACTGGATCACATCATCTGACCCATCATATTTTTAGGGTGCATCAGTTAAGGTCTCATTAATACCTACTCATTATAGAATCATAGAATAGTTCGGGTTGGAAAGGACCTCAAGATCATCCAGCTCCAACCCCCCTGCCATGGGCAGGGACACCTCACACTAAACCATGGCACCCAAGGCCTCGTCCAACCTGACCTTGAACACTGCCAGGGATGGAGCATTCACAACCTCCCTGAGCAACCCTTTCCAGTGCCTCAGCACCCTCACAGGAAAGAATTTCCTCCTTAGATCCAATCTAAACTTCCCCTGTTTAAGTTTAACCCGTTACCCCTTGTCCTGTCACTACAGTCCCTAATGAAGGGTCCCTCCCCAGCATCCCTATTCATTAATATCTACTCTCATTCTGAATGTCTGCAGTGATTCTCCTGCATTTCAGTACCAAGTTTCAGGCTGCTCCTCCTTGTACTGCCACTCTCTGGCACATAAACAGGTCAATCCCCTTCATTTCCATTGTTATGGACACTGTCCTTAAGTCTTCCCAGTATCTGCCCCTTGACCTCTATATTCTGTCTGGAACTGCCCATAAAGCTAAGGAATGCTCACATTGGAGGCCAACGAGAAGCTGAACAAACACCACCTTTGTGTCCGCATCTCACCTGGGAGTGGGTAAGGGTCAGAATAAAAGAGCCACACTTCAGAGGAAGGGCAGGTTGTGGCAGATAAAGCTCAGCCCTGTTCCCGGTGGTCACTCTATGCTGTGCACACACTGGATAAGGAACTGGCAGGAGAAGCCTGCTCATTTTCACTAGCCCTGGCCCAAATGACTGCTCACTGCCCTGTCACCAGCACCTAGGTACACGTTTCTTAGGACCAGCAGCATTCCCTGCCTGGCTGGAAGGGAAGAGGAGACAAGAATTCCCTGGCTCTGCTCCTCTCCTGGTGCCAGGATGCCCAGGAAGAACCACAGCTCACCAGATGTAACCCAAATCACTGTAACACAGAGGTCCAGCTCCTGTGCCCCCAGATCAAGGGCATCAGCCTTGCACAACACAACTAGCTGGTGCTTCCAGAGTGCCACCGAGGGGCACTGGTTCTGTAACAGGAATTCCAGAGCTCCAGATAGAAAAGAAAAAAGGTGTTAAGGTGCTACAAATGAGGGCTATCACTGCCTCATTTCTTGGGTCTCCTCTGCAGTAAGTGGGTCGGTGTCTGAAGAGCAGACCAAGTGTAGGCACAAAGTGGGGAAGCACGCAGAGATGAACAAGTGCTTGTAGCAAAATGCGTTCAATCCACACACTTTTTATACCTTGGATGTCTCACATCTTTATGTCATAGGCAGAGTTTGCCCTCTAGCTGCCGCCTTCTGTCAGCAAAGCTGAAGTTAAATTTAAGCTTCCGTGGAATGTATCGTGTGAATTAACTGGAATGGATTTATTTTCTCTCAGACAGAATAGGAACTCATGGAGTTCCATGGCTGAGCAGGTAAGAAGCCTGGTCAGTCACCTTTCCTGCTGCCTTGGAGCACTGCACTCTGAAAGGAAAGGCACTCTGTATTTCCACTTACAGTGAAAGATACTTGGAATTACTTCTTTCCTCATGGACAGTAGAGGAGGGGGCTATTAAGCAGCAAAGTCACAACTTTTAGGACAGTGACGCTGTGATACTTGCTTTTTCCTTTGGTCAAATAAAGCTCGTTCCTTCTTCAGCTCCTCTGCTGCTGACCTGCACTTCCCTGCTCACTTCCCCTGCAGAGTCCCGTCAGAGGGCAGAGGCTCAGTAAATGCATCTCTTTGGGTGGTTCGTGCTCCTTTTAAAACAAACACTTTGGTGTTGCTCACTGAATGCTACAAAGGAAAGCGGGCACAGTTAATGATGGGGATATACACAGCAACAAGGCTGGGTTTATTTCCTGGTGATCCTGCTTACGAGCAGCACTGTTCTGTTTCCATACAACAATTAAAGTATTGAAAGTAAAAGCCATTTTTAAGTAATTTACCAAATGAATTACTTCATAACCCCACTGCACGCCTGAGGCTGCCTTGTGAGGGGAAATACTAAGCACAAACCACAAATTCGGCAAGGTTTTCCATGCTGTTGATACTTCAACCCCCCCAAACCCCTAAACCGTGAGCACTTGAGGTGTGGGGCACACAGCCAGACAGACTGTCCCCCCCGTCCTTGTCACAGGCCCAGCAGGGAGCACGGAGCACACAAGTAGGAGGGGAGAAGCTCCCGCATCAGTCGATCTGATGCCTTGAGAGCTCCCCTGCCTCTGCCCCACGAATTCACCACCTGGCTTCTGCTACTACTGACTTAGAGTGCTTTGTGTTCCTGGGAGACATCAGAGAGGTGGAGCAGGGAACACAAAAGAATGAAGAGGAAAGAGGGAAAGCAAGAAAGCAAACTCCGAGTAAATGTCAACCCCCCTTTTCTGTTCCTGTCTGAAAGGAGAAACCTCCTCAAGTCATTGATACTTCAATAAAATCAGGCAGCTCCAGCTTGGTAAAAACTGGTGAGAGAAATGATTTGTAAGTACCAGTAAAAATATTCGTGAACACTGGGGGACACAAATCCTTGCCATGACAGGAAATATTGATCAAATAAAGTTATGAACATTTCCTGTGTGTTTATGCTCTCCTTTACACAAAAGTTACTTCCCAAAGAGGGTTTGCACTATTGCAAAATGTGACAAGGAAAGCATCTGTTAAATGCTTTGTATGCAAACTTAAAGAAATTGAATGGATTACCTTGTATTTACACAGTTATTTATCACACTGCATACAGTAGAAATGAAGGATCCTGCAGCCCTTTGTTATTCTGTGTTATGAAATTCTGTATTTCAGTGGAATGAATCCGGACATTGAAGGGCCCAATTATCAAAATCGAAAACCAAGTAAAAGAGAAAATATAAAAGTCTGATAGTGGGGTTTAATATTTTAAATACTAGAAAATACAAAAGTTGGGCCTGCATTCCCCTACTTCTGTCAGAAATCGCGTGTAGCCCTCACACACCTGACAGCGCGTGTGACGATGCCCGTGAACCGCTTCTGCACTTCCCAGGGAAGCACGGAGCCTGCAGCACTCGCAGGACCCGCACGGTGCTCCTCGGCACGGGGGGGCAGGGACCTCCGGGCCCGCCGCGGACGGGCAGAGCTGGGCCTTCTGCCGGAGCCTGCCCTGGGCCGCCCCGTCACGAGCAGCTCCTCCTTCCCCTTCCCTCTGATTGCTGCCCGCAGCGCCGGGAACCGGCGCCTCTGCTCCTGGCTTGGCCGCTCCTGGGGCAGGTCCAGGCTGCGCCGCAGCAGCTCAGTGGGGTTCAGCTCCGCGGCCGGCGGCGTTCCGGCAGGGACTGAGGGGAGAGGGCTGCAGTCCCACATAGCCCGTCACGGGGTTGAGCACAGCGCAGTGCCCAGGTGGTGCCAGTCGGTCAGTCCAACAGAAGTGGGATGCCTTGGTCTTTTATTCCTTTAAAACGTATTTCATGCTCAAGGATTTTTCCCGAAGTCTGAAGCCATCTGTGTTCTGGAAGACGCCAGCAGGCTGCGGATGGATGTGAGCAGAGCAGGGGCCTCCTTTGCACTGGTAATTCATGTACCTCGTACCTCGGGAAACTTCAGCCAGCTTCTCACCGGTTCTACCCTGCAGAAGCTGATCCAGTTTTGTTAAGTGCCCAGGCCTTGCCCTGAGGTTTCTGGAGAGGGGCTTGGGACAAGGGATGTAGGGACAGGCCAAGGGGAATGGCTTGAACCTGCCCGAGGGGAGACTGAGATGAGCTCTTAGGCAGAAGCTCTTCCCTGTGAGGGTGCTGAGGCGCTGGCACAGGGTGCCCAGAGAAGCTGTGGCTGCCCCATCCCTGGCAGTGCTCAAGGGCAGGTTGGACACAGGGGCTTGGAGCAAGCTGCTCTAGTGGAAGGGGTCCCTGCCCGTGGCAGGGGTTGGAGCTGGAGGAGCTTTAAGGTCCCTTCCAACACAAACCAGGCTGGGGTTCTGTGGTTTTCACTGAGCTTAAGAGCTACTTGTCCTCGACACCCTGCACAAATCACGGGCTCACAGCAGCATCCACAGCCTGATTCCATGAAGGTCCCTTGTTGTCTTTTCTATTGTCTGCTGCCTCATCTGGGGCTGGCCCAGTATCCATCTGGAGCCTACCACAGACATCAGCAAGGGTTAGATGTGGCCTGTCAAGTACACTGTGTGAATGACAGGGAATTCTGAACCAGAGTAGGACACCAAAGGGGAAAATCCCAGCTTTGCACTGGGATCTCTGCACCGAGGGTAAAAATAGACTCCCACAATGCATGTGCATACAGGACTGAGTTTGGGCTGCATACAGCCCTCACTTTTTCTCTCACTTTGTTTTTCTGGAGCATTTATAGGCTGCCAATGTAGATTTGGGTATAAATAAGTATTACATGAACTGTGTATGACTGAATTAAAGACAAGAGTACTCTGCATGATGAATAGGAGTTAAAAATATGTTCCATGTATCAGAGGAAGTGAAAATGCAAAGCAAACAGATACAATAATCATTACCATACTACAAGTGCCCAAATGCAATCTGTGAGTCAAAACAGGAAATGGCTCTTAACATAATCAATTGAAATATGTAATGTGATGTAACGGCAACAACCAAAGTAGTGATGAAAGCTCCAGCACACCCTGCATTTCATGCCAGCTGGCATCTCAGCTTAGACAAATCTACCTTTATTACACCGTTAGAGGTATTAATTTTCACACACAACTGAACTTACTCAGTGATCTTTCATATTTACATGACAATGATCAATTCTAGAGTGTACCTACACTGCATACAAAGTGTGACTTCTACTTACTGGTTATGGAGGCTTGTGTCTAAGTCATTCAAGCACCCACAGCAGAGCCAAGCTCAGCAACAGGTGACTGGCATAGAGCTCCTCCACCTTTTGGGGCAGGTCTGTACCTACATCTGTACCTATGCAACAGCTACATCTGTCACAGCTCCTCACCTCCACTGCAGTGCTGGGAGATGCTGAGTTGCACAAAGGTTTGGTTCCATAGACTCAGGAGGTTCCCTGAATCCTAGAGAAGAAATACCCTGGATTTCATCTTCCTCTAACATTTTAGGGAGAAATCATTCTTGCAAGGCACATTCTGTTATCTCCTCTGCATGAAGTATGTATATACTACTTCTTACACACTGCCCGCATCCAACATGAACAGATGGGCCATGTGGGAGGGAGCAAAAAACTCCTGCATATCACAGAAGGTTCCCAAACTTCATGTGCATGCCCCCAGATTCTAGCTATTAAAGTCCATGGGATTATTTTTCTTTAAATATACCACTATCTAAGCTAACATTAAACAAAACAACACAAGTTACAACGCTATTCCAGAGCAGCATTATACTTGTTTTGTCATTCCAATCCACTGTGTTGGAGCCATGCAGAGCAGAACAGAGCACAGTCCCACATCCTTATGCAGACATAAATCAGCAGGGAAAACGCTTTTGATTTGCTATTTTGAGGGCTCCTAACCAAGCCCTGGTGATGTTCAAGACTGCACCGCTGAAGGGGAGTTAAAAACCAAACCAAACCACTGGCGTGTTCCAGTACACTATGTGGTTGGCTGGAAAGGAAGCGGGTGACAAGCACGAGTGACCTTGGAAAACCAGCTGTGCCCACAGGAGCCCACAGCCCTGTCACACAGCCCTCTGCTGCTTGCCAAGCCAACCTCTCACCTCACCACTACCTGAGGAGAGATCAGCTGTAACTAGTGCTGAATTGCTTGGCCAGGAGAAAGTGAGCTCTGAAAGCTACCACTGCCTCCCCTCCCACAGAGGGAGAAAGGGAGAAGAGCAGACAGGTGATCATCAGAGTGCACATCTTCAGAAGCAAAATCCAGAGCTCTTCCATTGAATCAGCCAACATCTGGTGTTGGGAGGGACCTCAAAGCTCCCCCAGCTCCAACCCCTGCCACGGGCAGGGACCCCTTCCACTAGAGCAGCTTGCTCCAGGCCCCTGTGTCCAACCTGGCCTTGAACACTGCCAGGGATGGGGCAGCCACAGCTTCTCTGGGCACCCTGTGCCAGCGCCTCAGCACCCTCACAGGGAAGAGCTTCTGTCTAAGAGCTCATCCCAGTCTCCCCTCGGGCAGGTTCAAGCCATTCCCCTTGGCCTGTCCCTACAAAAGTCCACTAATACGGAAGAAAAGATACAAATATTGAGCACAAATGATGCAGACAAAACTTACCTATACAGAAAAATGCAGTGCTGGCTCTCAAGTCATGCTCACGTGGTGAAATCTGAAGGTAAACAGTGCGAATGAAGCCACACGACTGGGGTATCATTTGTCCCAAACTAAGACTTACAAACAAGTCTTAAAACCCTGACAATAATCATGCGAGGTTCTGGAACTGCTCATGGTTCCCTTCCATGACACCATGCATGAACTTGAGATTAATCAAAACACATATAGTCATTATCTTTACATCAGTCTTTTGACTTCATTTCAGTGTCATGGTATTTGGAGCTGACATTTTTCTATCTTACCACATTACTTAGCACTTCAAGTGGCTCATTCATGCCCTGAATTTACTGCTTCCCTTTAATGATATCACATTTTAACACCACTAATTCCAGTCCGATGCTAATGGTACCCAGGGTAATTAGCCTTCATTACAGGAAAGCTTAAGTATGAGAAGCGGTCTTCCGTGGGAACATGCCCAGTATTTCTATTATTAATGACTTCTGGAATCTATCAGACCATAAATAATGCAAATTATGTTGCATCTTTTCCTCCCTTCTGACAACTTCTTAATTTTGCCCTCCTGATGTGAATTTATAACTGTGATACCGGGACAGAAAAAGGAGGAAGTGTGATAAAGGGCAGGTTGTGTCCTTGAGGAACATGGGCTCAAACCCAGGACCAAAGAACAGAAAACACTGTCAGCCCCCTGCAGTGTGGATGAACCTTTATTCTGTAAGCCAGGTATTGGCAGTGCTCAAGGCCAGGTTGGACACAGGGGCTTGGAGCAAGCTGCTCTAGTGGAAGGGGTCCCTGCCCGTGGCAGGGGTTGGAGCTGGAGGAGCTTTAAGGTCCCTTTAACCCAAACCAGGCTGGGATTCTGTGACACCCATTAGTGAAGAGCCACCAGGAAAGCACCCCTTTGTTCACACTGTTCTCAAAACAAATCACAGTAAGTGCACACAAAGACACCTCCAACATACCTGAAGCAGCTGGCTCCATCCAGGGTAGGTTTCCATTCCCAGAATCCCGAAGAAAGGACAGGATGGATTTAAATCCCTTTTGTTGACCTCTTTAGGAGGAAATTCAAGGGGACAGTGTTTCAGATTCAAGGCTGTCAGCAAAGTCAAGTGTCCTGTGGAAAAGCCGTGGTTTAGCAAACACAGAACCATGGAACAGCCCAGGTTGGAAAGAACCCTGAAGATCATCAGGCCCAACCCTTCAGCATTTGGCAAGATGGGTGAGTTTGCAGTGTTCAAAGCCAGGCTGGACACAGGGGCTTGGAGCAAGCTGCTCCAGTGGAAGGGGTCCCTGCCCGTGGCAGGGGTTGGAGCTGGGGGAGCTTTAGGGTCCCTTCCAACCCAAACCATTCTATGACCATGATGATGGACCGCAGTGACAGACAGTCACGGCAGATGAGTCAAAGGGAATGACTGGTTAGCACTGTGCCTGTGATTGCTATGATAACGACACTTATTACACATGCAGACACTATATACCACCTTAAATTATGTATTTGGCCAAGTACAGTGATTTTTATTTTCCTGGTTTTATTGCTACAATAACCAATGTTTTTATATGTGCATAGTGCCACTGATACTGCCATACCTAGGATTATTCCCGAATTGCACTTTCTAGTGCACTGTTCTGATTTTCCTCTTCTGAAATCACTGGGTCTACCTCACTTCTCACCCCCAGCCACCATCTCTGGGTGACAATGGACAGGGGGACATAAATCTCTGGCCTCCCGAGGCCACACACACCTCATCAACTGCCCAGCCTCCTGCTTAGCTCATAGAATCCTAGAATCACAGGGTAGGTTGGGCTGGAAGGGACCCACATGCTCATCCAGTCCAACCCCATAAGCAAGGCATGTGCAGCACCAGTGACACGTGTGACGAGGAGCTGCCGGGGTGGTGGGAGCCACCCCTCACGTTCCACCTGCTGCCGAGGGAGCACCAAATGCACACAGTCCTTCCAGGATCAGTCGTGCTCACGAGTTGTGTTTATACATATTTGTCAGTTCTGTTTCCCAGATGTAAACCCGAATTTGCCGTTTTCCCTCCCTGTCGCGGCTGGCAGAATTAAGCAATACTTTCACTCAATCCTGCTTCAGCCGAGAGCACAACCGGTGAAATCTGTTAAATCCCTCCGGCAGCAACGTGCCGCTCTCCAGAAGGAAGGTAAGAACCACATTTCGGCCTGACATTTTAGCATGACACACGGTTTATAATGATGGATTTAGGGAGTGCAGCACCGAAACCGCACCGAGATACGGGATTTCATAATGGTTTCACGTTGTATTACTGGAGCCACACTTCAGATCCGCATTCAAAGCCTGATCCGCTCGCTCTCTACAGGCTGGCTGCTTCACGTTCTGCCTGTGCCGATGCGATTCGCTCATTAGGGCACGAAACAGTGTGTTTGCTCTTTTAAACTGCTCCTGGAAAACCTGACTTGCGGAAATGACAAATACATTACTAAGCACAGCCATCTGATTGTAAATTAGCAGCAATTAAAGCTGAAAGGAGTGTTACAAAACAAACGTTCCAGTGTGATTAACAACCCTTTGACGTTCCTGCTCTGGAAATGTCAGCTCCTGCAACGCTCACAGAGTGCACCTGGGAAAATCCAACCCAGCCTGAGCCAACGGAGCAGCTCGGGGGCTCCGGGGAGCACAAAGCAGTTTTCCAGGCACCAGGATGGGGACAGTGCTGGATCCTTCTGGGTCAGTTCCCTTGGAAGGGAGCCTTGAAGCTCAGGCACAAATGGATTCTTCACATCAAGGAGCTACCAGGTACAACCTGCTCCATGCAAAGCTACACCACAGCTACACAGAGAACTCACAGCGCCATCCTGCTACCACCACGGGATGCAGATTTTTTCCAGTTCCACTGGAATGGAGAACACACACACCTAAAACTGACTTCTTTTCAACTACATCGTGATTTCCCATTGTTGATCTGGATTTTTGATCAGCCACAGGCCAAGACCTGACCGGTAACTTACCAGAAGTGCAAGAAAACCTGCATTTTGCCATCCCACACCAACAGAGTTCCTTACTGGAGAGGTAAGGCAATCTCAGCTCCGATCTCGAGACCACTCAACACTTGTTCGTTTCCTCACAGACCAGAGCTAGAACTGCAACTCTCACATTTTAAGCAGGATTATTACTTTGAAGTCTGCTAAAGCTGAACTCCAACTGAGGACCAACGAACACCAGAACAGCCTGAATGGTTACTCTGGAATTGTGCTCAAACTACAGCTGGGCTGAGATAGAGAAACTGAGTGTGACTGAAGACATCATTTGTTGCAATCCCTGGGGAAAGACTGATGGCAGTTTGCCTGCCCCACGCACATACCACACGTTAGGTGCGAACCAGACATACCGCTTTACTGTGAGCTAAGGTTCTGAGGGAGCAATGCGGAATGGGCCTGCCAATGTCTGATGGAAGGGCGAGAGTTCTGGAGAGAGGCTGGAAAAGAGGAATTACCTGGTGCCACAGAGCAAGGCAGCTCCTACACCAAGGAATGTCCCAGGCAGGCAGACTGGCCAAGAGAAACAAGCAAAAGGCATAAAGGAGGAAATACCTGCCTACAAACTAAAGTACAGCAGCCCAGCAGCGCTGTGTGCCTGAATCATGTTACAGGGTAACGGCAGGGCTTGTAAGCGAAAATCCATGTTTATTGCACAGAGAGGAAACACGCTGTTGTGTAATTATTGCTGTTGGGTTTGTAAAGAAATATACCCACAGAGCTCATATATGGCCCTGGGGGTATTTACAAGCTGTGTAGATGTGGCACTTAATGACGTGGGTTAGTGGTGGCCTTGGCAGCGCTGGGGAACGGTTGGACTGGATGAGCTTAAAGGTCTTTTCCAACCTAAATGCTTCTACGGTTGTACAAACAAGCATTCCTAGGGCTCTCCACAATGATACTTGACTGTTGTGAACCTGGTACCAGTGACAAGGAATGCTGAGCTTTGGAGGGTTAGCAAAGGGACTGTGTTCTAAGAGTCTCCATGCAGAAGTCTGCTAAGTGAGCTACAATTACCAGGATGCCTTCTCATACAGCCGTGATTCACAGATTAGAAAATTACTTCAAATAATCATAAACCACAAACACAGCAACGGAAGAGCTCCGTTACTAACAAGTAGGAATGGCTTTGAAAATGCACCTTGTAAAGAACTCTTTGGGAATACAATTAGATTTGAAGTCATTTAGCATGAAGAAACCAAATCTATTTTTAAACAGAAATGATCAAAATGAATCACGCAGATGACTTCAGGGCTGGAAAAACGACTTTGCTGTTTTATCTTGCTGAAAATCACTTGGGTTTGAAGATGATTTGACTGCAGTGGGGGAGCTGCATGGGCCATGCAGTCACAGCTCGTGCTTCACTCGCACGGATGGTGGACGGGCAACGCTCCCTTTCCACAGCCTTTTCATCATTCACTCACCTTTGAAACTGCATCACCTGCTGAGATCTTCACGCTGTAGAATCGTTCCTAGCTCCTGCTAAAGAACTCTCAGGTAGGTGCAACCATCAAATCACGCAGCTCCCGTGCAATGCTGTCTTTAGCAGCTTGGAGAGTTTTGTAACGCTTCTCATGCCCATTTTACAGCAGGGGAAACTGAGGCATGGGCAGCCCTGTGATGTGTCCAAAGCCAGGTAACGCTCCCGACTTCTCCAGCAAGCCACCGGCAGTCCTGGCAATAGAAGGGATGTATCCCAAGCCCCCACAGCACTGCCCAACAGTGCGCAGTACATGAGTATGAGATCATTTTCTGAACCGCGTTGTCTGACAATGAAATTTGCACCTTTGCTGATTAAATTCAGGCCACGTGATAACCAGGAGAGCCAGAATAAAGGCTCCAGGAACAGCCACAGGTGAATCAAAGCTGGTTTGTGCCATTCAGGCTTCTGGTCCCCTTGCAAAGCCCTTTCATTCCTTGAACAGGTAGCTTTGAACAACAGGTTCCCTGAACAAAGGCAAGCGCTGCAGATTCATTCCAGATCTCGATGAAAAGCAGACCCCTAGGCATGCAGACTAACAGCTGAGACAGTGATCATGGACCATCCTCCCGGCTCACCTGGGTTTACACTGCAACCTTTCTGTTTGGTATTGATGATACCAGCATCACAGAACGGGTGTTCTACTGGCAACAAGAGAAGGGACCACGGAGCAGGTGCTGCAGGCCAGAGACTCTAATTTAAGCGAGGGCTGACGCTGCCAGCGTCGGCTCCTACTCTGTTTCTTATAGAGGAGGTTACGATGGCAAGTGTGCAGACAAGAAGGCAATAGCAAGGGTAGGAGGACGAGTGGGCTGGGAATTAGCTCATGAAACACGATTTTGTCAGAAGGAGCAATCCTGTCAAAACATGGGTGTTGTGTAAAAACACAGGAGATCCTCACAACCCCTCGCTATGTCACAGGCACAACTCCCAGGTTTTCTCCCAGCGTACCAGGTGGATTGCTTGGTTCTCCCCTCAGCTCCCTGTGATGGGAGAGCCCTGCAGTGCTGGCTGTTGACACACGCAGGGGCCCTGAGCCCTGACTAGCACAGCTCCACCGCAGGGAAATGAGCAGCTTCAGGAACCTGGGTTAGGGCAGCCCTGTCCATTACATGTCCCACCCTCTGCTGAGGTCCCAGTCCCTCTGCTGGACCAAGTCTTACACTGTCCACTACATTAGGAGTCATGCCTGAAGCAGCTCAGCTGCTGTGGGGCAGAGAGGGCTCACTTCTAAAATCACACATGTATATATACACATATACACATCTATCTGTATCTACTATATAGGGGCAATTGTGGTATATAGAACTACAAGGGGATGTAAGGGCTCTGCCAAGGGAACAGACCATTCAAAGTAAAGGCATGTGGTAGGACAGCATCACACTAGTACAATGGAGAAGGCTCAGGGAGACCTCTGAGCAGTCTTCCAGTGCCTAAAGGGGCTCCAGGAAACCTGGAGAGGGGCTTTGGACAAGGGCCTGTAGGGACAGGCCAAGAGGAATGGCTTTAACCTGCCTGAGGGGAGACTGAGATGAGCTCTTAGGCAGAAGCTCTTCCCTGTGAGGGTGCTGAGGCTCTGGCACAGGGTGCCCAGAGAAGCTGTGGCAGAAGCTCTTCCCTGTGAGGGTGCTGAGGCTCTGGCACAGGGTGCCCAGAGAAGCTGTGGCTGCCCCATCCCTGGCAGTGTTCAAGGCCAGGTTGGACACAGGGGCTTGGAGCAAGCTGCTCTAGTGGAAGGGGTCCCTGCCCGTGGCAGGGGTTGGAGCTGGAGGAGCTTTGAGGTCCCTTCCAAGCCATGCTGTGACTCTATGAATGCAGTGAGTCTGATCCAGGATGCTGTTAGAGATCCCGCAGTGGATGTGTGTGACTGCTGAAGGCACACGGTGCTGGCAGCGCTCTGCAGAGCTGGCAGTGCCAAGGGGCCTGGCCTGGGCCACCCTGCACACCCAGGGTACCACTGCCTCCCTCGGCATGAGCTCTGGGCAGCATGGCTGCAGCCAGCCTCTGCGTGTGCCTCCAGCCATCTGTCACCACGGCACTGCTGCCCTGACACCCCTGCTGGACTCTTTACCCATGGCTGTGGCTTGAACACGCCTACGGCGCAGCAGGAGCGCTGGCATCTTTTCTTCAGTAGCCATCATGTGCAGAGCCAGGAGAAATGTCACATATGGCAGGAATTCCCCATTCCAGCACCAATCTGGGAAACCTGCAGTGATCAAAATACTGTGGTAGAGGAGTGCCCTGATTTTGGATCTGTCCAGAAAACAGCACCCACGAAGCAAGTTTTACTGCAGAAGGGCCAGCATAGCAGTGGCCCACTCTGAGAGACTCAAGGAAGTCTAAATCAGCAAACACCATTTTTCTGATGCATTGCCACTCAGCTTGAGGTAGGAAGAGCAGAGTTATTCCAGGAGCAGGCTCCCTCATGTGAAGCAGGAATAGAAGAGTGGACACCCTTCCATGCATGGGCTACCAGCCATTGCTCCCCAGCAGACGGGTGGGCAGCAGCCCGGCTGCAGAGAACACCAAGTCCAACAACAGTTTGAGGCCACTTCCCTGCATGCTTTGGTTTCGTGTTCAAAGCTTTTCTTCAAATAATTCTTCCAGGAGATAAACTCCACAGGAATGAGCCCTGCTTCAGGATGCCACTGGAAGCTAACCAGCACCGCAGAGCTGGCACTGTGTGTGAACTGTGTCTGAGGAAACCGCATCTGAACTAGAGCGGTCAGGTGTGGTTTTGATTCCCTTTCTGCATGAAGACAGCACCAGGTCTGCAGCACACTGGGTGTGCAGGATTCCAGCACCCAGCTCACGGGGTTCTGGCCTGATCCAGGAGGATGAGCTGGCCCAAAGCCCCTGGGCACAGGTCTGAAGCAAGCAGCGCCCCAGAGAGCTGGAGGGTGCCTGGGCTGAATGGGGACCCTGGTGCTGGAAGCCTTGAAACTTGACCAGTCCTGAGTGCTCCAGGATCACTGATGGTGGGAAGCAGGGGGGTCAGTACTGAATGTGCAGGGCCAGCATGGCAGTGGGGCAGGGACACTTACTGATGTGGCCAGCTGCTTCCTAATGCACTGCCCAAGGAGCACGAGAGGTCACACTTGCACAGCACTATGAACAGCAAAGCTTCGTTAAAATCACAGCATGACAGTGCTTGGGAACACTCTTGGGCCTTAGACTATGACTGCATCACTAAAGGGTCCCTTCCAACCATTCTGTGATTCTATGATTCTATGTCTAACACACAAGATATGGTTTTTACTTCAGTTTTACTCAAGGAAACAATACTGAACATTTTTGACTACAGCACTACAATAAAATGTTCCCCTCTTATCAGTGAAGGCAATCATTATGAATAAGTAATTTATTTTCCCATCTCATAGCACATGTTCGTGGTAAATTAAAACCATTCTTTACATAAGTATCAAAGTATTTTAAAGTCTAACCACAGAATTAAACACTATGAGCCAAAAAACGTCTTTGGTATCTTCAAACCAGGAGTGAGTACTTACTGAGCTCTGCAGGTAGCTCTTTTATAGGACTCCTCTCTAAGAGCAGAGTTTTCAATTGCCTTTTCAATAAACCAGAAAAGAGACTGTAAGAGCAAAGTTCATTTAATTAAATACAAACACAAGAACAGTTTTGCTCCTTAATTGTTTCCTTGCTTTTGTTCCCTACTACAGAAAGGCAAATCCTCACTTCTCCACCGCTAACATCAGTGCTGGAAAACGGCACACCCCAAAGCTTTCTGGAACAGCCATCTGAAGCTGGCATTTATGCCCAGTTATGATGCAACTACTTCAATATTTAGCATTTGATCTTTCCCTGCAAAGCCTGCTTATCACTTTAAAGTCTGATACTGACTGCTCCAATTATAAACACATCATTTCCAGTTGTTTATCATCTTGCTGAGCTTCAGCTGTTTGGGTTGTTGAGTGCATTCCTCAGGCTAAATTTGAGCTAAAACTACTCAGCCATTCTTGATAATGAGATTAGAAAGAAATATGCCCTACTTGTACTTCATTGCATCAGCTTCTTTCTTTGAGAAGCTCCAGTGTTCCTATTCTTGGACGCAGCCGAGAAGCTTGGCACGGGTCATGTACGACATTCATGGCATTTATGTCCCACACAAGATAATATTTTCTTGATATATCTGAAAATCTGTTAACATTTAGACAAATCCTGAGCTTCTGAGAAAATGTCAGCACGCCCCTGCTCCAAAACAATGGCATTGTCAGGGAAATGCTGCAGCTGCTGAATACACCCTTGTTTGGAGGTCTCCGATGGGAACCTCTGGGCACTGCACGTTCAGGATGCAGGGATGCCTAATCCACGTGAAGGGAGCCACTGACACCCAGGCAGCTCTGAAATAGGAACCACACAGACTCCCCACTTCCATATCTCCTCATTTCTGACTGCTTCATTTTGCCATCTTGACTGCATTCTTGTAAACAGCCTTTAATATCCAGCAACAAACCGGCTCAAATGGTGTTCTATAGGCATGGTGCTGGCTTTATTTACTTGTGTTGCAATTGGACTTACTGTTAAAATACAGCAAAACAAACAAGAAGAGAGCTCTGGAGTGTCAGCCATAATATTTCTTTACCTCCAGGAAGGAAAACCAAACCAAACCAAACCAAACCAAACCAAAGCAAAGCAAAGCAAAGCAAAGCAAAGCAAACCTTCTGGCAGCTCTTCAGCACCAGATTCACATTTGTGGCAATATTTGAAGACATTTCAATTCAGTCATGAAATGTGAGTGCTGGGCTCATGTTTGCCTGTCTGGAGCGGAGTCTTCAGCTGCACGTAAGAGGAAAAATTGATTAAAGACTCTGAACCCAAATTTCCCCACATTTAGAGGCACCACAGTGTACAGGGACAGCCCTGCTGCCTCAGGGCAGACTGGTAGAGCTTAGAGCAGCTCCAGTACCTAAAGGGGCTGCAGGAAACCTGGAGAGGGGCTTGGGACAAGGGCCTGTAGGGACAGGCCAAGGGGAATGGCTTTAACCTGCCCGAGGGGAGACTGAGCTGAGCTCTTAGGCAGAAGCTCTTCCCTGTGAGGGTGCTGAGGCGCTGGCACAGGGTGCCCAGAGAAGCTGTGGCTGCCCCATCCCTGGCAGTGTTCAAGGGCAGGTTGGACACAGGGGCTTGAAGCAAGCTGCTCTAGTGGAAGGGGTCCCTGCCTGTGGCAGGGGTTGGAGCTGGAGGAGCTTTGAGGTCCCTTCAACCCGAACTAGTCTGTGATTCTGTGTACATGCCCACGGCTGATCCCTGCCCACCCGCACATCCAGATCGCACAGGGATTTGTGGAGAGCAAAGTATCAGAGCAGCATTTTCCCTGCCTGCACACCAGGCCAGACACCATTTCCACAAGTGTTTCCAACGTTTTTGTTTGATCTGGAGACGCTCTAATCATAACAGCTATTAAAATCAATGAAAGGCTCATGAACTGCTTGAATGGTCAACCCATCAGGCCCCAGACTAGCACAGTGTTTCATTGAGATTAAAACTACACTTCAGGCTGCTTCCAGAAAAGCATACCCCAAGAACTAGCAAACATCTTAAAATACAGCTTATGCCCCACACATAATAAGGATAAAATGCGAGTAAGTAATATTCAGAGAATATTTCTGATGGAGCTGCTGCCTGGAGTCAGTGTAAAACTACAAACAAGATAAAGCGTGACACATGCAGGGACTGATGACTGACACATTATGTTGGAGGAAGATGCACACAGAGAATGTCTTCTTCTCAGAGGATCTCAACCACTCCTGCAACAATGATGACAGCATTCTAATACAGTTTGTAAATTGTATCAGTCCTGTCCAATTGAATTTAGGAAAGCTGTATTTAGAAGATTTGTAAACATCATTAAACTTGACATTTTCCAGCTGCTCGTAGACATATAAATTTTATTTACTGTATTTTTCTAATCGCAAGTTGAACATATAATGATTCACAAACAAGAGATCTTCAAATACCTTTAAGCACTTTGTTTCAGTCACAAGATGCCATGAAACTGTTGGGTTTCTCGTTCTGGAAAATGCTGTGACATATCCTGGTCAAGGGTTGCCACCTCCTCCTTGTCATACAGAAAGGTTTCTTTCAGAAGCACAGCTGCAAACTGGCTTGGTCTTTTAACTTCCAGTAGGAAAGTAATTCCTCTGTTCCTGTTCATTACCATGCATTGTCATTTGTGGTCTTCCGCTTCTGGAGTGAGGAGCAGGGAATTGTCCAAGGACATGAAAAAAGCCTGGTGGGAAGTTAGCTTTGGTGATCACGGTGATGTGGGAGCACTTCCAGGGTCACCACAACATGGTGTACTTCTTTCCCTACATGCTCCATCTGAACCACTGACAGCCAAATAATCCTTCCAGCAGGTAACACCGTGGCAGACAATCAGCACAAAGAGATTAAGGGGTAGCTGTCCTTCATTATCACTTAGGTTTGTAACTGTGGTCCCCATCTGCACCTCACCCACAACACTAAAAACAGTCACTTACAGGTATTAAAATGAAACTGGGGCAAAACCTCAGTGGGAAGACAACCAGGCCTTGCCTTTTAAGGTTCAAAGGGTGTACAGATTCACTGTGTAATATTAATTGGGCCTTTCAGTTCATGTTGGCTTTAGCAAACACAATTAAGCCTATTTACTGCTTGCCTGCACTGAGGCCAACGTCAAACAAATGCATATGAAAGTCTGACTGCTACAACGAAATTACAGTAGGGGAAATAGAAGACAAATACAATTGTTATTAAATTATCGGTCTGACCAATGATCTTACCTGTGGAAACCGATTCCAGGGGGAAGAGCTTTAATCTTGTTATAGCGGAGATCCAGCCAAACAAGATGTGGCAGCTTTTGAAACAAATCCTCGGGAAGCGTGGATATGACATTTCCTTCCAGATGAAGGTACTGAGCGAAAAACAGAAACATGTTTTACATCCAGAAGGAGAGGGGCTGTTCCTTGGCATGCAACATCGAATGTGAAAACTGTGAACTGCTCTCTGTTTTTGTGGAAGGAACGCTGCTAAAGGGGATTAAAGGATACACAACTATGAATTACACAGGGAGCGGTTTATTTAAGGACTTTTTGTTAAAGAACCCAGGGATTAAAGATCATAGCTAAGAACCTGTAGCTCTTCCACTCATCTGGCCCTTAGCTGCACTGTGCTACACTTAAATCAAGGGGTGAACTACTCATAACAACTTTATGTTGGGCAGTTGGTTCATTTCCTCAGTGAGATGCGTAATAATTTTTCGGCTGACATCGAGAGTGCTTGAAGAAGAGAGCAGAGACTCCTCAGCAGCCTTCCTGATCTCTTCTGACGAATCAGAAACAGGAGAATGTCTCTTGTTGAGATGCTGATCTCCCAGATTGTCACCCCTGCTGTAAAGCTATTCAGAATTGCTGTCATTCACCTGTCAGCAAGCCTGGAAACCCGGCTCAGGAATCCAAAGGGACCAGGTGAAGGCAAGTCATGAGCTGGGAAAAAAACAACATATTTTGGAATGGGAGCATACACAAACCAACGTGATGTTTATATTGTTAATTTGCAGATTATCCCCACTGCTGTGTACGATACAAACCAGTCAATTGGTCACTTTTACAGATGTATATACTTACACCAATGATACAAGGAACTTGTGAATGCCCCACCCCTGGCAGTGTTCAAGGCCAGGCTGGACAGGGCTTGGAGCAAGCTGCTCTAGTGGAAGGCGTCCCTGCCCATGGCAGGAGTTGGAACTGGATGAGCTTTCAGTTCCCTTCAACACAAACCAGTCTGAGTCTGTGATTCATCAGGATCACAGAATCATCTGGGCTGGAAAAGACCCATGAAGTGCTCCCCAGCACTGCCCAGGCCACCCCCAACCCATGGCACTGGGGCCTCGTCTCCACGCTGTGTGAACACTTGCAGGGACGGTGCCTGCAGCCCTGCCCTGGGCAGCCTGTTCCAATGCCTGAGCACCCTCTGGGGCAGGAATTGTTCCTCAGCTCCATCTAAACCTGCCCTGGTGCAGCTTGAGGCCGTTTCCTCTTGTCCCATCCCTTGTTCCTTGGGAGCAGAGCCCAGCCCCCAAATAATATGCATGTGAAGTCACAGGAAATAACAAAAATCTCCAACCAGCCTTTGGGGCCGCATTGCCCCACACCGCGTCACACACAGCCCTGGGAGCAGCACCGTTATGCACATGCACAGTGAATCACAGAATCGTCATACAACGCCAGCCTGCTTTGGGTTGAAGGGACCTCGAAGCTCATCCCGTTCCAAGCCTGCCACGGGCAGGGACAGCTTCCACCGGAACGTGTGCCAGGCGATGCAGGTGCCAGCAGGGCCTCGGCTCCGCCACCCGCGATGGGTCAGAGCCGCCCCCAGCGCTGGGTGCGGAGCCGGCGGCAGCCCCACAGCCCCGCCCGTGCTGAGCACCCGAGAGCCGCGTCCCCGCGGAGCGGCGCCCGGCCGCTCCTCAGCCGGGGCTCCCGCAGGCCCTGGCGGCCCCGAGCCGGCGGCGGCTGCATCCGTGCTGCTCCCAGCTCCAACTGAAGCCACCCTGCGCGGTCCGCGCCCCCTCCGCTGGTTTCAGCGGGTGCCAGCGGCGCTGCCCCGCTCCTCACCCGCGGGCCGGGCCCGCACAGCGCTCCCCGCTCCGCTCCGCAGCCAGGAGGGGGCACCGGTGGCGGGGCCCGGGCCGGGGCAGGGCGGGCTCCGTGCGCAGGCGCGGTGGCGATCCCGATCCGTGCTCAGCCAGCTCCGTCCCCCGGCCGCGGCTCCGCAGCAACGGGGAGCGCCGGGGCACGGGGCATGGGCACGGGCACGGGCACGGGCAGGGGCAGCGCCGGGGCACGGGGCATGGGCACGGGCACGGGCACAGGCAAGGGCAGCGCCGGGGCACGGGCAGGGGCAGCGGCAGCGGCAGCGTCGGGGCACGGGGCACGGGGCACGGGCACGGGCACGGCGCGAAGCTCCGGGGACACCGGGGCAGGGTCGCGCTGAGCGGCACCGCGGACACCGCCCCTGGGGGGCCGTGGTGTCCGTTCCGTCGGGCAGGACCCTCTGCGGCCTGGCGGGGCAGGGAGGCGTCCCCAGCCCGGGCAGTGGGGGCTGGAGCCGCGTGAGCTCTGCAGTCCCTTCCAGCCCAAACCCCTGCGCGGTCCCAGAGCCCGCACGCACCATCCCCGCACCCCAGCTCTGCTCGCGGGTTTCTCTCTTTGGGGGCACAGCCGCAGCACAGCAACGACCCAGCCCTCCCAGGAAAACCGTCCCCGCATGGCAGCGCCATCAGCGCTGTCGCCGGAGCAGCAGCGTCCCTGCAGAGGCGCCTGCGGTGGGGTGAATAACACCGAGACTAGCCGGGGCTCACACCGGCTGAAATAAAACATGTTCTTAATGAGCAAGATGGTAGAAACCCATTACTGAGACACGAGGAGTGCTTAATCTGCAAACCCAGATAATTATGTTCCCAGTGACCTGACCAAGTGTGATCAGAGGCACTGTAAGGGTTTTAAATACACAAAACTAATTTTAGAATTTAGATACATGATTTTTGGTGGGGTTTTTTGTTTGTTTTTTTGTTGGTTGGTTGGTTTTGTTTTTGTTTTTTTTTTTTTGCTGGCTTATACCCTGCTTATTAACGTAAATGAGAAAAGAAAGCTATTTTAGAGGAATTTCTTTAGAAACTATTTCCTTACGGGAGGATTATTTATTTGTAGAAGAGAAACTGACCCATTTTATTACAGTCTGTAACCTCAAATGCATATTGCACTCCGTAGGAAAGACAGTCTTGCTGACTGCTGGAACTGCCACATGGCAAAACACAAACCACACAGCCTTGGCAATAGCATTTTGAGGCAAACAGGTGATGTTCTTGTTAGATCCCATGCTCATGCAGTGCCCTCTAGCAGCAAGCACAGCTGGAGGCTGGAGCATCTCGAGCTGCCAGAGATGCTGCATTAGTGCAAAGCTGTGATTCCACTGGGTTTAGAATTGTCCCCACCTTGGCTTGGTTGAACAATTGCCTCGCTCAGGAATGCCTGACCCGCACAGACTGTCCAGCCAGGAGCCCGTTTTGCAGCAGAGCCTGTTGAGCCTTGGAACCTCCATTTTATAGCAAGTCTCTGAATTCGGAGAGAGAATCCTGTTGTCCTGCAGGGACCTGCGGTGCCGCTGTGTTCATGGGAACAGTTGGCTCACATGAGGAACTAAACAGGCCTAAATCTTCACATTCGCTTTGTCACAAGGCCACAAGCTTCTGAAAGCACAGCATAACCTGGGCAGACTAAGACCAAGCACCTATCCCTCACTTGAATGCATCTCCACTTTGGAAACACAGATCCCACTCACGAGGCTGTTCCTGCTGCTTGTAAGAGAGAGCAGGTACAAGGGGTAATTTTATTGTGCTTTTCCTGGAACAGATTTTCTTTGAGGCTACTGAAGTGCTTAAATCCTAATTATGGGCAATATTTATGAGCCAGAGGGCAAAGTTTATGACGGCTAAAACTGGATCAGTGGCGAAGCTTTACGGAAGTCTTGGTGGCACTTGTTTATGCAAACCCCATGATACTTCAGATAATTTTATTTAAGATAGATAATACATTAGGATTGAAACCAATGACATCATTCCCTCAATTAAAGAGAGAGTTATTTCAGCTGGGTTTAATCTCAGCATTCTGTTTAGAACTCTCTAGCACAACAGTAATAGAGAAACATTTCCATGGCCACTTCATGGAGAGCAAGTGATCTGGAAAGATACCCAACTTAGGGAATTGTCTTAGAACAGGACTTACAGTGTTGCTTGTCAAATCTCATTGTCCAGTTTGGCCTCCTCATGAAGCTGGAGTCCTTGGCACCGCCAGCACAGTAACAGACCACTTCTTCAGCATGACAGTATCTAGGCAGACTTTATCCTGATGAGAAGGCAAGAAGAAAGAATAGACTGGCAATCAATAAACAGGTTCATTTTATTTTTAGCAAGCCAGAGTTCTGAGTTTCAGTCACAGAGCAACAGCCAGAATGGCATCCCACTGCACACACCACTGTCAGGTTGGTCACTGTGTTCTCAGCTTGCTGGCAGCACTTTGTCACCAGGGACTATTGCACATATCAGTGCCACCAGTGCTCCTCCTCAGCACTGCAGGTTGATGTGGGTGACTGAATGAAAGGTGCCAGGGACCCTCATGCAGAGGAGCTGTTGGATCATGCACTCCAAGCTCCAGAGAGGAGTGCTCAGCTTCCCTGCCCAGCTACTCGTTCAGGTTAGCAGGCACCTACCTTACACAAGTTTAACTCCATTTGACTTCAGATAAGTTAGGAAGCAAAGTTCTTCCTCATCTCTCTAAAGTAAGAGCTGTTAAATAATACCAGAAATGTCATTGCTTTCTATATAAAACCGCTCTCTACAGCATTATAAGGCTTTTAATACTCCCATAAGTGAACAAACTGATTTTACTCTAAGAATGTGTCTTATGAAAATATACTAACATATGTTCCTAATTTCCTAATGAAACATTTGGTTAGCCTAAATAAATAAATAACATAAGCAGGAAAGTGAACAGACATGTAAACAAAAGGAGGAAGAAGTCACTATAAATTTAGGGCTGAATTGCTCAAACAGCACCAGAAACAAATCAACAGAAACCATTGCAGAATACAGCAAATCAAGCAGGATATCTATTTTAGGCTGTAAAAGGCTAAACCGAACCAAGCAAATGAACTAGGACAGATTTACCTGCCAGCTTAGGAGGAAGAAGGGGGTAGAGAAGGCAGGAGGCAGCACTTGCATCACTGGAGGGGTTTGAGCACCTGCTGGTAATAGCCTTGTAAACCCTGCACTGCAGCTGGCACTGGGGATGAGAGGAGCCCTGCTCTGCCCTAAAGGGTGCTGTTACCCTCCTGCTGCCAGCTTTGGGGCTGCGCAGCTGCCATTGTGTGTGTGCTGCTGCAGAGGGACCTGATGGAGGAGGTTATTGGTTAACTGGGGTGGTGTCAAAAGGCTGGGAGGCAGCTGGATCAGTGATTACTGTTAGCATCTTTAGAAATAGAGTTGGCACTACTTACAGAAACACTAATTATAGGCAAATATGTGACATTTCCCCCTTATGTAATGTTTATTGAAAGAATGATGTGTTCTTTCAGAGGGACTGCTTAAAATAAACATAGGCTTTTCTCTGTTGGCTTTCTCCTTGATGGAGAAGCATGTGAATTTTAAGGATTACGGTAATATTCTTTTCATCATCTTGGACATGTTGCAATTATAGCCATTATTTTCAGTAAAGGGCTTTTAAGAGGAGTGTAATATCATGGTATATTGCCCCCCTTGTTTCTGTGCCTAAATCAGGAGTGTCTTACTTGCCTCTGCAGTTTTGTGATAATTGGTCATGATTTTGTTTAGAAACCATTTTCCTCAGCTCACTGAGCACAGATAGATACCCTAAAGAATGTAATGCTGCTTCAGGCAGCTCTGTTTCTGGTTACACTTGGCTTTATTCAGGGTAACTTCACTGATACCGGGGAACTTGATCATGATTTATGGTGATGAAAGCAGGTGTAGAGTGGGACAATGACATCTTTATCTCTGCTGGTGATGGCCTTGTTGATGTCACTTCTGCCATTCCACAGGCAAAGGCATCAAGAAACATGGTGGGCTGAAACCCTCCCCGGCATCAGGACAATCACATCCTCTTTTCCCACTCTTTTTTCCTACACCACATTCTGCAGGCTTCTTGGAACAAGACTATGATTCTGTGCTGTGGATTTCGCTTGTCAGAATCTTAGGGGGAATAAGAGAGAAACAACAGCGGAGTGACAGATGGACAGCAGCGTTTAATAGCCTCTTTCATACTTTGCAAAGGCAGGAGAAGGGGAGGAGTGGAAGCTGAGAGCTCAGCCATTTGCAGCATGGTGGAAACTAAACCTGCCCCTGAACAAAGCAACACTTACTGCCTCGTACAGAAGTGTTCTGTCTTTTTATTTGAGAGTGACTCTTCTGATTTCTCAAAGAAATCTCCTTTAAGAACTATTCTTTGCCTTTGGAAAACTGTTCTTAAATTACAGCCTCCACCTGAGATCCTTTTCCAACTTCCAGGCTCTTAAATAATGACTAAATCTGAGCAAAATTTGCGTGAAGAGTGCAATAACCGCAATATCCTTTTCAAACTGTGCCGTGGGAGAAAACAGCGTAAAGTTTAAATTAAAACCCAGGGAGCATGGCCTCAGAATTGTGCAAGCCCTTTCCTGAGGGTGTCACAGAGACAACGCAATGGCTGAACACTGTCACTGGACATTTCTGATGTGGTCCTCTTGTGCGTGCACACTTTATGTGCCAGAACCAGCAGCCGTAGACTTCACTGCCCACCTTTCCTGCCTGCTGGAAGGTGACCCCACAAGCCCAGTAGTTTATGCTCTAGTGGAAGGTGTCCCTGCCTACGGCAGGGATTGGAACTGGATGAGCTTTAAGGTCGCTTCCAGCAGAAACCAGTCTGGGATTCTGTGATTTCAGGCCTAAACAACCACCTTCAGGCTTTTATGCTCTGTATCACAACATCCCCTATGACTTCTTCAGTAAAGATCTCCAGAGTGAGGAAGCTTCTGAAATGCAGTGGAACATCTGTACAAGAGAAACATTGACTTTCCAAGCTACCCACTAATTTAAATCAAGTCCTTAGTTTATTACAATAGTTGAATAAAAATCAGCACAGCTGCCTTCACGTTAGTAAGATCAAAGATTGGTAGTGAGTACTCCTGACAGATTTAGGATGAACTATTTGTGCTTTCAGAACTAAACCCAATGTGGGTAGAGGCTGGGCCATGCTGTAACTCTGTGCCTTTCCTCAAATCACAGAATCCCAGCCTCCTCCAGCTCCAACCCGGGCCACAGGCAGGGACCCCTTCCACTAGAGCAGCTTGCTCCAAGCCCCTGTGTCCAACCTGGCCTTGAACACTGCCAGGGATGGGGCAGCCACAGCTTCTCTGGGCACCCTGTGCCAGCGCCTCAGCACCCTCACAGGGAAGAGCTTCTGCCTCAGAGCTCATCTCAGTCTCCCCTGGGGCAGGTTCAAGCCATTCCCCTCGGCCTGTCCCTACATCCCTTGTCCCAAGCCCCTCTCCAGCTTTCCTGCAGCCCCTTCAGGCACTGGAGCTGCTCTCAGGTCTCCCCTTCAGGAGCCTTCTCTTCTCCAGGCTGCCCCAGCCCAGCTCTCTCAGCCTGGCTCCAGAGCAGAGCTGCTCCAGCCCTCGCAGCATCTCCATGGCCTCCTCTGGCCTCGCTCCAACAGCTCCACGTCCCTCTTGTGCTGCTGCCCCAGAGCTGGATCGGGGCTGCAGGGGGCTCTCCCCAGAGCGCAGCAGAGGGGCAGGATCCCCTCCCTGACCCGCTGTTCCCCCCGTGTGCGATGCACCCCGCAGCCGGCGGGCTCTGGCCTTTCCCGCAGCGCCCCAGTTCAGGCAGCAGCTCCACACCCCTGAGCGCTGCGAGCGCTGCGCTGAGCTCCGGGGCCGGGATCCCCCCCCCGCCCCGGTGGAGTCCCCGCCCCGGCCGCACCTGCGGGCGGTGCCGCTGCCGTCCCGCCGCCGGGGGCGCTGCTCCGAGGGCGGCCCGGCCCCGCCCCGCCCCGCTCCCGCTCCCGCCCCCCGGCGCTGCGGCCGCCGGCTCCCGCCGCCCGCCTGGCTCCGCGCTCCCGGCTCCGCCGCGCTGTGGCGGCCCCGCGGGCAGGGCTCGGGAGGCGGCGGCGCCGGGCGCTGCCATGCGGGCGGGCGGCTGAGGGCGGCGGGCGGCGGCGGGCAGCGGCGCGCAGGGCATGCCAACCGCCTCGCCCCGATGTTTCACTGGGGCAAGTGGAAGAAGAGGATGGGAGCGAGCGCCTCCTCCTCCAAGAGACCGGTCTTCGACGAGCGGGAGGACGGTGAGTGCGGGCCGGGAGGGCGAGCCCTGCCCCGGGATGGTGAGCGCCGGGGTGCCGAGCCGTGCTCCCGCATGCTGAGCCCCGGGGTGCCTGTCCCTGTCTCGGATCGTATACCCGGTGCGGGGATGCCCCGGAACGCTGAGCCCCCGAACGCCCAGCTCCGGGATGCCCCGGGTTGCCTCAGGGTGCACTCTCCGGCTGCTGGATGTCCCACTGTGCCCATACCCGGGATGCTGAGCCCATTCCCGGACCTGTTGAGCCCCGCTCCGCTCAGCTTGGTGGGTCACAGAGACGCAGTAGGAGCCCGAGGTCCGCGGGTCCTGTCCCGGTGCGGGTTTGCCCGTGAGGCGCAGGGAGCGGAGCCCCGGTGTTGAAATACCGGGTAACGGGGGAGCGGGCAGCGAGGGGATGGTTTAGCAGTGAAGTTTCCACCTGTGCAAGGAAATCTGTGGCTTTAACACAGAAACATCAGCACAGCTGGTCTCAACTCCAAACGCTGCGCGCCACTGCGGGAGGGCTGCCTTGGCTTTGTTGTAGGAATACACCATGCAGTGCCACAGTTGCACGAGACTCCTCGGCTGCAGGGTGCTGTTTCAGAGGAGCAGAGGAGGGAAGCTTAGACTGTGGGTGCGGGAAGCCTCGGGAGTGATGGATGGGCTGCTGGACCGCCGGGAGCAATCCCGGCATACAGAGCATGCTGTGCTGGCCCTGGGGCACCCACTGAGCTCTGATCAAACCCCTGGGTGCTCGGGGTGATCGGTTTTGCACCGGATAAATTTGGAGTTATGCATGTTAATCTTGGAGTTCTGTGTGTTAATCTCAGTCTTCGAGGCTGGTGATGTTCTCGTTTCCGTGAGCCCTGGGTCTGCCAGCGTCCCCTTGGTGAGGGCGGCCAAACCTGAGCCTGTGCTGCTGAAGGGGTGTGAAATCGGGGCTGCTTTCCCTAGAGAAGCAGCAACTCGGTACCGCCAGCAAGTGTTAATTGGCGGTTCAGAATGCAACACTGCGCTGTTAGCCCTTGTGTCTCCTACTAGGAGGTGTAGAGAAACACCCCTCAGAACAGCAGCGGGGTGGTGGGGTTGGGTCGGGGTGACTGTGGTGTGTGTGCAGTGCTGCTCAGAGCGACCGTGATTTTGTGCTCCAAGTGGAGAATGTTTCATCTGGATGTGATGTGCTGGGTCAGCGGAACAGGGAGTGAGGAGTGAAAACGCTTCAGCTGGAGGTTTCACTGCGTAAATCAGAGATCATTTTGTTCTGAAATCACCTCTGCTCTGGAGCCAGGCTGAGAGAGCTGGGCTGGGGCAGCCTGGAGAAGAGAAGGCTCCTGAAGGGGAGACCTGAGAGCAGCTCCAGTGGCTGAAGGGGCTGCAGGAAAGCTGGAGAGGGGCTTGGGACAAGGGATGTAGGGACAGGCCAAGGGGAATGGCTTGAACCTGCCAGAGGGGAGACTGAGATGAGCTCTTAGGCAGAAGCTCTTCCCTGTGAGGGTGCTGAGGCGCTGGCACAGGGTGCCCAGAGAAGCTGTGGCTGCCCCATCCCTGGCAGTGCTCAAGGCCAGGTTGGACACAGGGGCTTGGAGCAAGCTGCTCTAGTGGAAGGGGTCCCTGCCCGTGGCAGGGGTTGGAGCTGGGTGAGGTCCCTTCAACACAAATAAATCTATGAACCAAGCCTGAACACAGCCAGTACAGGGAATGGAGCTCTGCAGGTGGATGACCACTGAGCAAAACCTGATAACATCCCATAAGGTCTTTTCAAGCAGTTCCTGCAATTGTGGAGACTTATTAGGACTTTACTTAATATTGCCTGCTTTTTTTTTGTTGTGGCTTGTTAGTGTGTGCTCAGAGCAATTACTGTGTTGTTCTGGTGAACTCCTATTTACTGTCATGGCAAGGTTGCTATGGAGATCTTTTAAGGCATTCCGATAACTTATATCGAGAAGCCAGTTAGTACTTTGGTTTTGTGTGTGACATAATGTGGAAGAATTACTTGTGATGACAATTTAACATGAAATAAATAAAAACAAAAAATAAGGGGGGAAAGGAGAGGTTAGTGCCTGAAATCATACCCATGGGTGGCTTCCAGTGATGGTTACACAGGAATGAGCCTGACTGTTGAAATCCAGTGGTTAATGCTGCTAATTATGACAGAGTGTATGGAAGTAGAAGGTTAACATTTATTCTAGTGAGTAGTAAACCAAGGCATAATATTCACCCTCAGTATTCACCCCTCTCACCCTGGAGAGGGGCTTGGGACAAGGGCCTGTAGGGCCAGGCCAAGGGGAATGGCTTTAACCTGCCCGAGGGGAGACTGAGATGAGCTCTTAGGCAGAAGCTCTTCCCTGTGAGGGTGCTGAGGCGCTGGCACAGGGTCCCCAGAGAAGCTGTGGCTGCCCCATCCCTGGCAGTGTTCAAGGCCAGGTTGGACACAGGGGCTTGGAGCAAGGTGCTCTAGTGGAAGGGGTCGCTGCCCATGGCAGGAGCTGGAGCTGGAGGAGCTTTGAGGTCCCTTGCAACACAAACCCATCTGCAATTATGTGATTCCATATGATCCTTTCATGGTCAGGGCATCACCAAACAAGGCCCAGTTGGGTGCCCACTGCCTCTCTGCTGCTGAGGACCATTCTCTTTCCATAGTAGGCTCAGGACATTGTGATGTCTCCGCTCAGTGATCTTGGGGCTTGATTTTCATCTGGGCAGAAATTATTTCCTGTTATGTCTCTGGGGAGCGTTATGGACACCCCCTGCAGTTTATTTGTACTTCTATTTTTATACTAAGTGGGGAAAACTCCTCATTGTGAAGCCAATGGGTGTGTTTCAACCCAAATATTAAAACACAAAGTTTAGCACAGTTGCTAGGACTTGGAACCAGGGCTCAGTGATAGGAAATAGAAGGCACACTTGGTGCTGAGCATTGCCCACAGTTGCGTTATGTGAGAGAGGGGGAAAACCAGAGCCTGATGTATCTTTATATGCAGCGATAAGAGGAAATTCAAGCTAAAGAGAATTTCAAGCATGCCTTTTGGTTGTGGCTTCTGAATCCAAGCTGCTTACTAAAACAGTGTACGTAAATATCCATGGGAGTATGTAAAGCCATCTGTGCCTTCTGCTGAGGGCTCCTTCCTTCGCTCACACCGGGGTGAGTGCTCCCAGGGCTTCCTGCCCCTTTCCTGATGCTGAGGGAGGTTTCCAGCCGGTTTCCAAGGTTTCAGCGCTGCAGCCCCGTTGCTTGTGTCGTGATCAGTATTTTGTCTGGATCCTTCTGTTACCATCCCCTACCTGCCCCTGCCAGCGTGTGGGTGGCTCTTTGCAAGGGGGTCAAGTGTGTTCTGCTTGCATCAGCATCAGGTTTTGAAAGCAAGTTCCCAGTTTTACAGCCCACGGGCTCCAGTGAACCAGCAACTCCAGGTGTGGACTTGGGGTCAGTTATTCAAAGAATCATGAATCCCAGGTTGAAGGGACCTCAGGCATCATCTGCTCCAAGCTTTGCAGGCACAGCATGACCTGGGCTGGATGTCCCAGCACCCTGTCCAGCCAAACCTTTGCAGTGTCCAGTACTGGGGAGTCACCACTTCCCTGGGGAGATTATTCCAGTGGCTGGTTGTTCTCATTGGGAAAAATTCTCCTCTTGTGTCCAGTGGGAATCTCCCCAGGAGTAACCTGTGCCCATCGCCTTTCCCATGGGAATCCTTCTACAGAGAGAGTCTCTGTCTTCTCTGTAGCCACACTTTAACTACTGGCACCTGGTGCCGAGGTCTTCCTGAGCCTTCTCTTCTCCAGCTGAACGGTCCCAGCACTCTCAGCCTTTCCTCACCCACTGCCCAGCCCTTGGACCACCTTTGGGTCAGGTGAAGTGACTGCGGGTGGCTTTTCCTCCCCTCCTAGGGAATGATCCCTGTTGGAAATTCAATGGCTCAGCTCATAGCAGGAGAGGTACCAGACCGATTTGAGGAGCAAGCCCCAGCTGCAAGGGTGCGGGGACAAGTAGGGCGAGGGCTTCCTGTCCTGGGAGGACACGGGGTTTTGCAGCCATGGGGCGGATGTGTGCTCTCTCCTTGCTTAGGGCCGTGCTGGTTTCATTGGCCATGGGGCACCATCCAGCACGGTGGTCAGTCTGCCCCGTGGCCTGATGTGTTGGCTGATGTGGGTATAATAGAAGAGGCACTCTGACCCCTGCTGCGGGTTTCCACGCTGAGAAATGCTGTTGTGTAAAAACAGGTTTCTGTGGCAAGACAAGAAAACTGATAGGTGTCATGGGGATGCTTTGCTGGCCGGGCAGTGGAAGGTGTCCCTGCCTGCAACAGGGGCTGGAGCTGGATGAGCTTTAAGGTCCCTTCCAACGCAAACCATCCTGTGATTGTGTGGCTCTTTCTGGATGTACCGGGCCCAGGGACTCCTGTAGCCTGGGCATCATTGGAGGGACGGTCCCCGCTCTGCCTCCTCATCATCCTCACCCTCGCAGGGCCCGCCGGAGGCTGAAGAGCCCCGGCAGCAGCACACAGCGCCCGTCCCCATGGAAACGGGCGAGAAGCTGCAGAACCTGGGGAAATGTGCTTAAAATAATCCCTGATCCACTGCAAGCGGCGTGCGGGCAGGAGGGGGTGACACAGACCCCAGTGCATGCAGCCCTCTGCCCCCGCCAGCGGCGAGCAGAACCGGGGTTCACTGATGCGCAGGGAAGGAACCGCGCTGGTGCCAGCCCTGCCTCTCGCTCGGTGTTGTCCTGCAGGACCTCGCGATGCCGGGCGCTGGGGCCCTCCGGCTGCAGTTGAGGGGGGACGCTCAGATCCACGTCTCATCAGGAGCTTGCACCACGCTCAAGTGAAGAATTCAGTGGTGGCAGACTGAATGTGCTGACACTGTTCCTCTTTCCGATCCGATGGGAGTGCGATGCCCGGCTCCTCCTCAGCACTAGGCGATAGTTTCTCAGATCGGGACTCTTCCCCATGATCGTTTGTTCTGGGGGTTGGGACCTGCAGTGAAGCCAGGGCATGCTGCCAGGCT